GACGTGGAGACCGGTCCTACGGATAAGACCGCATAAACCGAGGTCCCGTGACGCAGTAGGTGCTGGCACGAAAAAGATCCCTCACTGCTCAATGGCCGTAAGTGCCGAGTATAGGACAAAATTTGCAGCTCTCCACCGGCAACTGGTGGCCATTCTCTATCCAGAGTTACCGTTCCCGCTACGCTCCACCAATACCTCTGTCAACGTCTAAAAAAGTAGTACGGAAGGCGTAGACGCTTGGCCTTTATCACAGGAAGATTAACAAACGTATTACCTTAACTTTTCTGTATATGTGTCAATGCTGCAAGTTGTTTGTATTTAAAAACTAAACCATGTTGATATTTGTCGGCAATGCGTTTTAAATTTACGACGTTCTCCATATCTGTATACATGAATGATGCAATATCCCGCCGAGAAATAATCCCTTGTAAGATACGGTGATACAGATGTATCTCTTTCTAATTTTCATACATAAACTTTTCTTCAAATTTTAAAGCTTAAATATGTAACTTCAAAATTTATAATTTGTTATACAATAGGTCAGAGTAAGTTTTGCCAAGAATCTTGGCATTTAGACGTTGACAGAGGTGTTGCAGCGAAGCGTAATACGCCCTCTGGTGAGAGATTGACTGGTGGCGTCTCCATATGAGTGAAATATTCTCGAGAGGGACGTTAAACAACATACAAACAAACAAAAAACGTCGACTGAATTGATGTACGGATTAACTTTGTTGTAAAATCATAATCTTTAATTCCTTTTAACCTATAATTATGTATTCGGAGTAAGGTCTGGAGTTGATCCTTACGTCGCGGGTTCGAATTCCACTGTGGAGACCGGTCCTTCGGATGAGACCGTATAAACTGAGGTCCCGTGTCGCAGTATGTGCTGGCACAAAAAAGATCCCTCACTGCTCAATGGCCCTAAGTGCCTAGTATAGGTCAAAATTTGTAGCTCTCCACCGGCAAGTGGTGGCGTCTCCATATGAGTGAAAAATTCTCGAGAGGGACGTTAAACAACAAACAAATAAACCTATGTGTATTGTGTGTTGCTATCGCCAGTCGTTTCGGTGACAATTATAGTCGATAAAAATAGGGAGAAGTATACCCGACAATAACACAGCGCAAACCATTATTTGTTTTATTTATTTCAACTTAAATGTTTTTTTTTACCTTTTTGTTATACTTATACATGTATTGTTTTCGGTAGTTAATGGGCTAGTGACTGGCAACCTCGGGCTAGTAACTTTGTTACTGCCACTAGCCCGACGGGCTAGTAACTAATTTTTGTAATTGCACACACCTGTTGTCCAGAAAGAAATTTTAATACAGAAGTGCAGAAAATAATGCAATGAAGAATACTTATTGACGTTTGAATGAATTCAAGAGAGATTGATATACATTTTTACATAAATTATTCAGTGGTGAAAAATGAAGCGCTAGCTAGATAACTTTTCTGTTTACCATGTCTCCACGTGCTAGTCACTTCCTAGCCACATTTCCGTTAATAATTCACCTTATCTCGTTGTAGTCTCGCTAGATCTCGCCAGAGCTACTGTGAGAGCTACTGGGAATTCCTCGGATTTTATTATTTGCAGAACACCGAAAAATAAAATGTTCCGAACACTTTAGAAGGGGTGACAGAACCTGTAGGAAATATAACCAGATTTATAGTAAAAGTACACTATCACTGATATTTTACATTACTCATAAAAACTTTTCTGTTTACCATGTCTCCACGTGCTAGTCACTTCCTAGCCACATTTCCGTTAATAATCCACCTTATCTCGTTGTAGTCTCGCTAGATCTCACCAGAGCTACTGTGAGAGCTACTGGGAATTCCTCGGATTTTATTATTTGCAGAACACCGAAAAATAAAATGTTCCGAACACTTTAGAAGGGGTGACAGAACCTGTAGGAAATATAGCCAGATTTAGTAAAAGTACACTATCACTGATATTTTACATTACTCAGAAAAACAAAATTGTTCAAGTTTTAGTAAAACTATACTAATATAAATATATATGTTTTAATGACATTTAATATTATTTCCTCTCCTGCAAGTCTATGAACGAATTCAAGATATCCCAAGTCAACTTTATTTAAGTTGCTCATCGGGGTTAATTAATGCAAAGAAACAGAAAAACAAACCTAAAATGTATTGCAGTAATAAGATGCCCTTTCACGTATTTCACTGTTTCGCCATGGTTATCCCTTAATTGGGTTGTCATAACTCTCATTGATACATCACCTTAGCTTGTTGTGTTTTCTTTGTTTAGGAAGCCGCTCAAATTAACGTTCAAATATATGTGTGTCATTTCCGGGAAGATAACTATGCACTTTACAGTAAAACGTGTTTAATTTCTAAACGCGTTTAGATATAAAACGCTAAGACATAAGTGTTTAGTTGTTAAACACACTTAGTCTACTATACACGTTTAGATCTAAACATGTGATAGAAGTGTTTATTTCCTAAACACAATTTTACAGTGTATACTTTAAAAAGTCTGATATCTCCAATGTTTTACTGAGCAGTCCATTGAAAATCTATGTTTGACCGCTGTGTGAGATATTGGACCTGTCGATGAGATATTGGACCGCTACGTCATACTGTGGGCGGGACCGAATTCAACCGCTGTGCAGGTAAAGGAAATTTACATTATGGAAACCAGTACAAGATACATGTATAAAATAAAAGGTATACCAAAACATTTATTGACTGTGTCCTCGGGCAAAATGCGTTTTGTCGACCCTCGAACCAAACTGTGTACCTTCGGCCTAACGGCCTCCTGCAAACAGTTTGGTTCTTGGGTCCGACAAAACACATGCTGCCCTCGAACCCAGTCAATAAATGTATAACAGTCAACTTTAGTTCTATCAGATAAGAACAATTCAAAGTGTGTTTATTAATATGTTTCTTGGTTAAAGGGTAAATAAATTCCTAAATTGAACCATTTGTATGTTTTTTCCCATGTTTACACTACAATGTACAAATGTAGCAACTAATCCTGTCTGTCTGTGTGACAAGGTCCTAAAGATGTATATTTGGCAGTCTTGATGTACCAAGTTTTTCCTTAACATAGCAGCATTAAATTTTGTGTAGTTACACTGTGTTACCATGGCAAGATTAGAATGATATTACCATTATCTACAAAAGGTCAACTATCTTTAATGTTTTTCTCGTGTTTATGATTGTGTTTGATCATGTAACCCCTACCAGGTGAATATTGAGCTTTTAAAATATATTCCAAACGTTTACCACTTACTTGAAGATATGTTCTACATACAGTGTAGTAATACTGTTTCTTTATAGCTTAGTGACGATAAGGTGAATTGTTTTTTGGTTTTTTGTTTGTTTGTTTGTTTGTTTGTTTTTTTTTTTTGTGAGATTGGTTTGTTTGGTTTTTCTACTAATCCTAGTCTTTATTATTATTATTGCTAAATAAAGATTCAAAGTAGCCAAAAATCTCAATTTTTCAACTTTTTCAAGTTGTTACCATGGCATCCATGACACATAACTAGATTTTGTATGAAATGTATTTCTGGTGATAAGTTAAACGGCAAAGTTTCATCAAAAACGGTGGTCATGCGTGTCAAAAAAAAAAAAAAGAAGTGATGATAGGAAGTAGCTTTGAATTCATGCTTGCTTATTTACCATATTTTATTCTTTTGATTGATTAATTAATTAATTGTATGTTGTTTTACGTCTTATTCGAGTATTTTTCATTCATAAAGAGACGTCACAATATAACGCTGAAGGGTTTCAAAGTCAGACCTACCGGTATTACTCGGCATTCAGGGCCATTGGGCAGTGCGGATTTTCTTATCCTGACACGGGGCCTCGGTTTTTAAAGCCTCATCCGAAACATCCGTGACTTTCTGTCTCGGCGAAGGAACAGTGAACTACCTATGTTTACGTCTTTAGTTTGATGCGGCGCGACGGACTGAGCCCGGGCCTCCACTAAATATTTACAACCACTGAATATTATTACCTTTATTTCTTATAAAAACCATTGCCGTTAATCAGTCCATAAACAACACTAAGCAAGCCACCAGCATAGATTTTTTAAGCAACGGCTGTTCCAACAATTATGCATACAATGACATACACATCTATAATACAATATTTAACATATTTTAATTTACTTTGAATGTTTTTTTTTTATAAAGCTATAAATATAAACAATAAAATATATTTCTTTGTTTGTTAGTACGGGAATTAACGTCGCAGCTATTGCCGAAAAAATTCACATAACCCGCTTACGCGAGTTATGTATTTTTTCTTCAACAGCTGCGACATTAATTCCCGTACTAACAACCAAAAGAAAGCATTTCATGGTTTAAATAAGAACGCGCTACCGTGACCATTTTTTTCCCTTTTGAAACTAGGGAGAATAGTTATCTTTACCTACAGAATTATGATGCTAATAAGTAAGATTTTGAGATCTGAAGACTGGAACCTTATGCCTCAAAATTGTCAAAGTCTTCAGTAACTTGTATTTGATGCTGTAAACGTTTTGTAACTTTTATACCCTTTTTGAGAACTAAGTTATTGATCATGACTAGGACGAAAATTTTCATTCGAAAAGTGTAAACTTTAAGACCTTCAGCTCATACACTATATCTATACAGATATAAATGTAAACAATAAAATGTCTCTCTTTGTTCGTTAGTATGGGAATTAACGTTGCAGCTTTTGTAGAAAAAAATATAATAGCCGCTTATCCTGACTTTTAAAACTTTTTTCTTTGTCTTGAGGAAATGACCGGACGTTCCGAAAATTTGAAAATTTCTATTCGTGTCGTTAATCATTTAAGTGCTTTGTGTGTGTGTGTGTGTGTGTGTGTGTGTGTGTGTGTGTGTGTGTGAGGTTGTGTGTGAGGGTGTGTATGAGGGTGTGTGTGTGTGTGTGAGGGTCCGTGTGTTCTGTAGTTTAAAAGATATAAGGCTATAATAATCAAACTCATTTATTATTTAAAAAAAAATAATTGAAAACATGATATAAAGGAATGTTTATTCTAATATTAAAAACATGTATATCAAAAACTAGAAACACTCTATCAGGCAATAGTTATAACAATCTCAATACACGCATCCTCTTTTCCACCCGTGGTTATAGACCCTCTAAGCTTGTAGTCTCCGGAGGGAAAAGCAGAGGCATCCACATCAAAAGAGAGACCATGAACATCAAACGTACCCTTGATTAGAAAAAAAACGTACACTTGTATCTAATATTTCTGAATTATTTCTCTGACAAACGTAGTGCATTAACGTTTTAAAAAATTATGTTTCAGTACCTTAAAGCTCTTGATGAGTCAAATATAAACTGAGAGAATAATTATAAATATATACATGTAGTACGGCCAAAAAACACTTTAAACACTTAATACTAGTTTACGAGTTTTCCCTTTTTCTTATAAATCAAGAATCTTTTGTTTTAATTCCAAAATAAAACCCTTTTATGATACATATCATAATATATAAATAAAAACATGCATTTAAACATTGATATTGTAATGATAACTAAAATATCGTATACTTTTCTGTAATTTTCATAGTCTTTGATTTTATGTCGAAGAATCCATGTAATTTGACCCAACAAAACACAGATATCCCCCAATTTCATCAAGTGTACAAAGATGTTATATAAAAAAAATTATCACCTATTAATAAAGCAGCCATAGCACACACACACATAATTCTTATGAAAAAAGTTCAAAATCTACTCACTGATTTGAATGGGCACTGACATCCCAGACCGGATGAGGCGATAGGGTCGGGGCAGTCCCCCACAGTGCTCAGGATCTGACACAGATCAGGGTAATCACAAGAACCAAAACTGTCAATGCATGGGAGCTTGACCCAGATCCCAGCTGCTTTCTTTGATACAACAAGGCTTGCCTTATGAGTGATCAAGATAAAAAATTAACATTGTGTGACAAGTACCTGATATAAATATGATGTAGCGTGCTATTAATTATCTCATTTTATGTTTATTTCTACTATGTAAAAGGTAAAGATAACGAACAGTGATCGATCTAAAAAAAATCCACAAACAATACAAATATATGAAGAGGGCATACAACACGGACCCCTGGAAATTCCAGAGGTGGGATCAGATGCCTAGGTGGAGTAAGCATTCCCTGTTATATTTATTTCTACTTTTAACCATTGTCTTAACATCCATTCAACAAAATTCAAAGTAAAACTAGAGGGAAAAAATTCCTACCGGAAGAGGAGCTGGAAACGAGGCGTTGAACTGTAGCTTTCCAGCAATATTGATAGTTCCTGGAAACTGTATTGGATCTGGTGTAACGGACAAACTCAAGATACTTGCTGGGTCGTTATTACCACAGTTTGTCCACTGGAAAGCTTCCACTCTGGAGGACTTTTTCCTTCCCTAATAGATTAATTACACATATACACAAGGGTGTGTTGAGACGGCAAATTTTAGGTTAGGGATGGGAGGGGGAGTCAAGGATAGCATAGTGCATGAAATAAATTAAATGGACTGACAAGTAACAATATACAGCACTCGAACTTTCTTTAGAAGGTGTAGGTTTAAGGGGAAAAAAAGGGAACAACTCTAAGCTAGGTGACATAAACGTTAAAGTACCTGCTGTCATATCAAAACGAATTGAGGTAATAAGTGTAAACCTCATAATTATCACGCAACAATTCTTTTGATTTTTCTTTTTTAGATTCTGATTTTCGTGCGTATAACTTACAACGTTTTGTTACCAAAATTAGAATTTCTTATAATGAAATACATGTATACACAACAATTTTGTTGATTTTTCTTTTTAGATTTTGGTTTTCGCGCGTATAACTTACAACGTTTTGTTACCAAAATTAGAACTTCTTATAATGAAATACATGTAATTTAACCAAACCTACAACAGATTTAAAGTAATCCTCCCCTCTGTATCTTTCCGGGAGTGCGTTTAAGTTAAGAAGATCCATTAGAAGTTCAGTTTCATCGTTCAATTTAATGTGATGTTCATCATCAAGGTAAGCGGCCTCGTCTTCGCCAGACTCTGGAACATGGAATTCTTGTTTCACTTCATCAGCGAAAGCACAAGCAAATAAAGCGAACACCACCAGAAATTTCATAGCTCTAAGGTGTAGGAAAAAAATTGTATATACTCGATATTGTTCTATAAGACAATGACAATGAGACTTGCAATGGTCAGGCTTTTTATCAGTGGGTAATAGTATTAATTGTTATCTTTATCGTTATCAGTTGTTTATCACTTTATGGGGTAAAAGCTGATATCTCGTACTCATTTTCAAATGAAATTCATCAACATCAAAAATATGTATTACTCTTAATACATTGTATATATGTAGTTAAGATTAAATAGGCAAGTCGTGATCAGGAAAACATTAATTTACGCCGAGGTTTGATCTATGTTATTTTTTGCTCTGATGAGTAGAAAATCGTATTCGATTAAATTATGAAGAATTTCTTATTGAACAAAAAAGATTTCAAGAAATTTAAAAGTTTGGTTGCAAAAGTTTGCATTTTTGTGACACCCAAAACTCTAATACTTTATATTCAAAAATGAACTCAACATGACTTATTTCTTATCATATTTACATTGTGGACCGTTAAGTAACTGGGCGTGCATTGACATGTACAGTAATGATAACGTGCGTGGTACAAATAGTACCAGTGTACTGACGAGTCTATACATACCAAAGATAACACCTTAAACGATACCTACAAACAGTAAATAATTTAATAAACAAGGGTAGAACAAGGATGTACTATATATCTGAATTTATTTAGGCGTCAATTTAACAGGAAATCTCAAACCGCAAATCAGAATGTAATCATGAGAGGTATCCGAGCTACGGATTCATTGAATTATCAATGTGTATAAATGTACATTAATGCTCATTTCTTTCAAATTGGCAATATAGATCAAGATAAAGCTATTCTTTAGAATAGACAATCAGACTGTTTATTTTTAGGTATACAAAACCTATGCTACACCCAGGATGAATAAACACAACTACGCATTTTTGGTGACGTATACGTGTTATATGCAAAACTTCATGGAGAATTTCAACGTAAATGGCTCACATCCCAATGAGCTTGAAATAAAAGATACCATAGAGTCTGACATATCTGTTTCATATTTGAATATATTACTAGAAAAAGGCGTTAATGGTAACCTAACCATCAAGCTTTATAATAAACGTGATGACTTCAACTTTACAATCGCCAACTTTCCTCACTTATGTAGCAATATACCCTTATCACCTGCATATGGGGTTTATGTCTCTCAGTTGATTCGATGCGAAAGATTATGCTCTACGTAGGAACAACTTCTGAAATGAGGCAAGCTCTTGATAAACATGTTGATGAAACAAGAATATGAACAATCTCGTTTAAAACTTTTTTCTTTTGGTTCTGCGGTCGATACAATGACTTTGTCAGCAAATTGTTAGGCCATTATTTACACACTAAATCGTCTACGGATTCTTCCGTTTTCCCAATCATGACAAGGAGCAAGGATGTGACCTGTCGGCAGGAGATGCTTACTCCTCCATGGCACCTGATCCCAGTGCCACCTCTGATATTTTAGAGGTCCGTGTTTGCTCTGCTCCTGATTGGTAATTGTTTCAATGGACGTTTGAGCTTGAGTACTGTTCGTTAACTCCACATTTCACTTAAGAAAAATGTATTCCAGTGTAAGTTAGGCTTCAAACTGCGGAAACTCAATGCACCACCAAATTTCATGTGAATAGAGTGGTAAAATTAATACAAACCGATCTGATGGTGTACTGTGAATCAAGAACAATCGAAGACATTAAGAGGAAACATTTGCAACCTCATGCGTCGTACTCAGGACCGTTTCCTGTCATCCAAAGATCCAAGACTGGTAATCATTATCTCATACAGAGGAATTGGATGAGGTATTTTTTAGTATTTATAGCCATTTAGTGATATCACCTATTCGAATAGGCGATATATCGCCTATTTTAACAAGTGATATCGCTGATTCAAATTGGTGATATCACCCATTCAAATCAAATAGGTGATGTCACCTATTAAATAAAGTGATATCACCCATTCGAATATCACCTGTTCAATATCAAATATAGCCCTTTCATGGGGTCGATCCATAGATACATCGACTTTACAGAAAAGCATATCAACCGAACTCAAAATGCGAGGTCGATATGCTTTTCTATCAAGTCGATATATCTATGGATTAACCAAATGAAAGGGCTACATTTGTTATATTATTTTTCACAAAGATTAACCAATCGAAATTCTTCAAATAATGGGAACAAACCACAGGTTTTTCCCTTTCGTCTTTTTTTAACACGTAGAGACTAGAGATCAAAATAAAGTAAGCAGTTTAATGTCACTGTGGTACCTTTAAATTAAAATGTACCTAATATGCTTTAAAAAGTGATCCATATTAAAAGCATGGTTACGTCTTATCATTTATTACAGAACATCACATTTACCAATAGGGATTGAAGTATCTGGGTTTTTTTTTTTAGCCACTCTCCTCAGAAGAAGTGAAAAAAAAAACCCTTTCTATGTAAATTTTATCAGAGTATCAAATTCCAATGTACGAAAAAAAGATCAGTTATACATGTAGCTGAAATACATGTAGGTCAATACATCCCTTTATTCAAAAAATATTTCAAGAACAGAAAGAAGAATTTAGTATATATGCATACCAAATGGAGATTGACAATGAGAAACTGAGCGCTCACATATACATGTAGTATTACAAAAATGCAGTTATATCATTGATAAGAGATACAGTATTATAGCATAATTATATCAATTACAACTGTCCAAATTTTTCCTGGAACTTCCCAGGGAGAGTAACCTGCAAGTTGTAAAAAACTTGTTTTTACTCCCTTTCTATTATGTAATAGTATCTGTAAAACAAAATATTTAATTCTCCAATTTTTTTGGAGCTGTACTCCCCTAACATGGAACATCCAGGAAGAAGTTTATTTTGTCATTAAAAAAAGCACAAGCAATATCAATAATTTTAAGTCAGTGTGACAGAAAATTTTGCTGCTATATGCCATATAAATGTATCTGAATATTAACAAACGTAGATATAAAGGATTTTTAAATCAAATATCAGCTCATTAAACCTATAAGTTGACATACCTTTCTTAGATATTCATTAAAGAACACAGTTCAATGCCAAATATTAACAAAACTCCCTTTCCCCAATTTATATTGCTTCATTTCTCATAAAAGTCCAAAAAACTATATAAAAAATAACTTATATGTAGTAAACATTAAAACAGATCAATTCTAGTTATTAGAGTTTCAGATCTTATCAAAATATTGAAAATGATGTATACAAAGACATGTACATGGATTATTAATTATTAAATCAGACAGTATTACGTAAGAAAGGTTTATAGAAAAACTATCAAAAAATAAATCATATTTCAAATGTTAATATAGACACAAAGTAAAACTATATACATTCTGATCTCAAACTGAACATGTTCTAACTCACAAAAAGGAAAAAAAACACTGTACATGTATCTAAACATCTTGTAGTTTTTTTGATAGTTTACAAACAAGCACTAGCTATCTAAAATAAAAAAAATAAATATCTTTTTAAACAAATGTTATGCAAACACATTGAAACTACTGCATGACAGTATATGTACTATAAAACTAACATTCAGTAATACTGTGTATTGTTCCTCAATATTGCATATTTTCTAGTTTTATGAAAATATTATTAGAAATTTGTTTTTCTCTGAAAACTAAGACAATTTAAGCCATCAAATAAAAAAATGTTTGAGACATATCTATATCGGTCAAAGTAATTTTGCACTTTAGTACTACCCTAACATCACAATCTAAAAATTATTCTCTTGGTATTCTTTGGATCGAAATAATTATGTCTAGAGTATTTTTAGGCGACAGAGAGCTCTACTTCAAGACATGCTACAAGTTTCCCATCCTTGTCCGTCACTCTGCCCGTTAATTGGTAATCCCCTGTGGGAAACAGTTCTGCCCCAACGTCCTGGCTCCAACTCGGAAGAGTATATTTACCCTAAGAAAATGAACAAATAATAAAAAGTAATGAAGAATGGAAGATGTTATATCCCTATACAATAAAAATTAAATGATATAATCATTTTATTATTCTTAATAATTAAAAAATAATTTAATTTTACAATTTGCTATGCAAGTGACAACAAAACTTACAGCTTTGATTGGACACTTGCAGTCAATGCCAATAGCAGTGAGCTGGGGTGGGCATTGTGTCACTGTACTCAGCAGAGAGCAGAGGTCATTGTATTTACAAGAACCAATATTATCAACACATGGAAGAGGAACCCAGATTCCTGCCGCCTTCTTTTTCAATTCAATCGCTCCCTGTAAAAAGTAAATGTATGTCTTCATAGGATTGTTTCGTCAGTACTCTTATCATGCTATGCAATGTCAAAAGCTCTTTGAAAAACTGCATTTCCAATGCAAATTTTGCCCAGGAAAACTTCTTTTACATGCATGTGAGTGTATATATTAAGGTTACAGTAGTGTACAACTGTTTTTTGTTGTTGTCATTTTCTTCCTTAGTGAATGGCAATTTTCCCAAACAAATAGTGATGATTATACAGGTACATGTAAATACATATATCTCCTCTTAACACAGAGCAGTACTGATCAATGACTGCATACATTTTCCACAAACATTTCCTTAAAAGTCCAATATTATACTTGGTAGTTATTATAAAGAACAAGGCAAAATATTAAATGTGTAACTTTTGATAAACAAATTGTCAAATTTATAACAATTGTGTGAAATGTAAAAGCCACGTTTGATAATTACCTCCCACTGCACAATGTATAAGGAAGTATTTAAGATTCTACCAACAAGAGTTAAAATGTATTTACTAGTGGTGTTCCAATCATCGATTATAATCGAAAATCAGTCGATTGCTGGCATAATCCAAGCGCTCGATTACAATTTTTTTATTCTGATTAATCGGGTTATTTATTTTATTTTAAAAGTGTAATAGTTTTTAAGCCAAATATTCCAGCCGCAACTTTTCTATTAACTTATTTGTGTATCGTAATGGTGCAGACGAAGAAACATTTATTCATACCCGGGTAACAACGCTCATTCCGGGGTATGGACGTACTTTGGATTCTACAAAATGAGCGTAGAACCAGCTTGACTAGATAGAACATTCTGTCATTAAAATGATATTGTCCTAAGGACTAAGGGTTGTTCCGAGACACAGTTATTCCAACTACAGCTGGACCACCACAGAAAGTAGTTATTCAACCATTCTTACCATTAAGTAAACTAAAATTGACAGACTTTGTAAATGTCCGATTATAATTGATAATTAGTTAGTTACAGTAGTCTGATCATCGATTATGAAATTCTTACAGATTCCCATCACTAGTATTTACCTCCAGGTACTGACATTATATTCCTCATGAGGAATCAGCTCTCAGCTAGTCATATTGATATCAAAGATAATTATACATTTCTTTAATAAAAATATATTTAAAACAACCTCATGTTGCTAACTAGGCCTAAATGTCCAAATTAAACATCCAAAGACCTTAACCTTGTTAAAATGAAGTCAAGTTCAGTTCATAAGCATATCTTCTTGTCATTAATAAACCTGCAATCCTTCTGTTGACAGCAAGCTTCTGAATGCTGGAGAATCTGTGCTTGTAAGAATTAATGTCAAGTTCTACATGAAATTTTCACTGTCTATACAGACCCACAACCCTGAAAGACTTTACAAAATGAGAAGGAAGCTTCGAGTATACCATGAAAATATAACAACTTAAACAATCTCTTTTCTTACACCCATCATCATAATAAATAAATGTTTCAAGACTTACATTTATTTCACCTGAGACAGTGGTATTTAGAGCTGCACTAGCACTGAAAGTGATGGTCCCGGGGAACTGCAGGGGGTCAGGTGTGACAGACAAGCTCTTTACATCTACCATCCCTCCACAGTTCTTGAAATGAAAGGCTGTCAACCTCTTACTAGGATCCAAGCCCTGTAAAATACAATGAAACTTTAATGTTAGTCACAGAGCTAAGAATTTTTTATATTGAGTGAACATACAATCAACATAAATATCCAGCACAATTTCTTTATTTAAGCTATATAGCTTGGAAGTACCTGTATGTATAGCTTAATTATATTTAAGGTATTATTTAAGGTTCATTGATTCTTTGATAAGAGAGATAACTTTAACTTGGATTAATGAATATTAATTGTCAAGTTTAGAATAGGAAATTTCTGTCAAATTATGCACTGCAATGAATGCTGAATTTAATTAAATTCTCTTGTGAAAATCAACAAATGGCCCTGATTAGTCGAATTTCCAAAATTTCACACAATTTAAAAAACCACCTAATAAACTAAAGGAACAGAAACTAAAATTTTCACTTGGAATAAATGTAAGAACAATTGTAAGCTGGTCATGTGTGACATCTTGGCACTGAAGAAATTGCTTATTCTGTTAGTATACAAGTCCCTGTTTTATCTATTAAAAGGAAAAAAGATGAGAACTCACATATTCGTGACATTTTTCCATTTATAAAAAAAAAAGAAGGCATGATTGTGAAAAATAAAACTGCATTTACATAACTTTTAAAAATCAGTGGCACTGTATTTGAAAGGCTTATATAGAAGCTTTGTTAGAACAATCTAACCGTGCCTCATGACAAGCCCTCACCATTAAACCTGGTCAATAGGGCAATATCTTTTTAACATCAAATTAAGGCTATCTAGCTAATTCAACTTTGATTAGAGTTCTACCTAACTCAACCTAACCTGATTCAAACAAGAGATTGCTTATGCAACAGTTACATGTATGTATCAGTGCATGTAGTTATCAGAGAAGTGAAAGTCGAAATATATTAAATTTATTATTAATGCATATCTAGGTGCATTTTTTTTAAAACCTGAAGACTACTTTAGCCGACTGATACAAGGACATGCAATGATATCCTTGCCATAAGCAGACATTATATTGGTTAACATTACCGCCTTTTGAAAGAAATCCAGTGACTTGAAACGCTCTGGAAGGAAAGGTTTCTTTAGAAAATTTATGAATTCTGAAACGTCATCTTCGTAATGTTTCTGATATCTCAGATATTCTGCATTTGTAAAGGAAATGCAAAGCAAAGCTGACAAAGCAACATAGACTCCTGCCATGATTGCAGCCATCCCTAACAATCTGCTTGTCACAAGGCAAACAATCACATGACACGCCGGAAATAAATATATACTACACAGTAGCAGGAAAATTTCCGAGGCCTTCCGAATTCTTCATCGTGGTCGCGTTTGATATCGTAAATGCATGGATGACAGTTAATGTGCACAGGCACCTGTTTCTGTTATAATTTTTTTCCACATAGTATAGTAATAACACAAGGTATGTAACTCCAAATTACATGGAGTACCCCCTACCAACGACATAGGTATGACGTATTAGCACGAATCTAAAGTGTTTATTGTGGGGAAAAAATACCGGAAAAAAATTGTAACCGTCCTCTGCTAAAAACACAGGAATCTGAATTTTTTATTCTGGAAAAAAAGTTAAAAATATCCCACCCTCTTCTTGGAATGCTTTTTTTTAAGGTGAAAAATCCATTGTAGAGGTGTCTGAAAAAGGAACGAACAACAACTTTTCACAGGAGATTGGCATATCTGTAGCTCAATGGTCTAAAAAAAATCACTCGGACCAGCTAGAGATCTGCTGATTTTAACACAGAAGATTCTTTCCAAAACTCCTTTTTAAACAAAATGCATTTAAGTTCTATAATTTTAGACGCAATAAATTTATTATATGTGAAATACTGAGTATTTTATGCTCAATTTCAATTTTGATTATCTAAATTTTATTAGTAACTATTGTTGCTTCTTCTCTAGTAAACCGGGTCTGCAAAAGACCTACGTAGACCTACTAGTAAACCGAGTCTACGAAGGAGATTAGATTTGAAGGCAAACACATGCAGGTAAATCAGGGTATCAAGTCTTTTTTTTTTAATTTCAGATATTAAGAAATATTTGATCACGGTTTTAATCGGAATTCGAAGACTATTCCAATTTGAATTTTTATTAAACCTTTAAGTTCTTCCATCAATTGCATACATTAATCTATTCCAAACAAAGTTCTATTATGCCTTTAAGTTCTTCCTTCAGTTACACACATTAATCTATCATATGTCTATTTTAAAATCTTTGTTTATATTCATTGCAGACAAGGAAGATGGCTCTGTATGCATACTTGAATCATAACCCTATCAGGAATCTGTTATCAAAGAATGTTGATAAAATTAAAAAATAATGTAATGTTAAAGATGAAGATAATGAACAAGATAAAGATAACGAACAGTGATCAATCTAAAAAAATCTAGTTTAAAAAAAGATTCGTGAACAGGGCAAAAATACGGACCCTGAAACAGCATAGATGGGATCAGGAGCCAAGGAGGAGTAAGCACCCCCTGTCGACCGGTCACACCCGCCGTGAGTATTGATGTGTTGTATGTATTGATTTTGTAGATGGAGTATAAAAACAATGACTTAACAAATAGTATGAAACATGTCAGAAAAATACAACCTAACGATAGGTTGTTCTGGTGTTGTAGAGTAGGCTTTCCCCTCTAACCCCCCCCCCCCGGAAAACTGGCTCTAGAATAGGATTTCCCGCCGAAAGTAGGCTCTAAAGTAAGATTTCCCCCACGTCAAAATGACTCTAGATAGAGTAGGATTTTCCCTACGAAAATCACACACCGGATTCAATTTTCCGGGGGGGGGGAGGGGGGAGGGATTCTACTTTGAGTAATAGTTATAGAGTGCAATTTTCCCCAGAGCCAATCCCCCCTCCCCCTAAAATATCATGGTTGTATTTATGTATGAGGGGGAAGTGGAAGGCATATTTTTACAAGTGTTCCTTCTTCAAAATGGCGACCTTTTCCATTGAAACATATGAAGTATGAACTGAAAAATTTTATTCCCATTTTTTCTCCATAACCGTCCTTTTTTGAGCTTAAAATCTTATTCTTTTCATCTGGTCATACCTCGTTTCTAAAAAAAAAAAAAAAAAGGTACCTGTAATTGGTTGGACACAAAAATTTAACTGTATTCATAAAAACAAAAAGGAATTTTTATTAAATGGATCCCCCCCCCCAATTTTATTTCAAACTACATGTGTAAGTGTCTCTCCAAAATTCCGGTGTTCATGGACTTAAAAATGGATCATTTATTTAAAAAAAATTGAAATTTTGTTTAAAAAAAAAGAGGGAGAGATTATTTGCTCTCTGCTTTAAAATCTAATATTACATCGTTGCGATCATGGGGACATACTTATGCATGCTTCGGCTTGCAAAAGCAGTTTTTGGTATTGTTGTGTTTATGTTTTTGGATTTTTCCCCTTTGAAGAACTACTCGATTCAAATACTTACAAAATTACATGTGGAACCCATCAATAACAAATTTTAGAATTTTCTCACACACTCTTTGTAAAAAGGATGGATCCATAGATGAAAATCTGAGCCTTTAGAGGGCAAGCAAATTCTCAAATGACCAAAAATGCACTGATATAATTTTAAAATTCGTAAGCAAACTCGTAACGCTGCGCCCAGGGTGTTGAGACATCGAGTCTTACGATTTTTTTAAGTTACTAATTTATAATTTCCCATGAGTTAAAATTTTGGATCGAGACTCAGTGATTTGAACTACCTCTTTTAAGATTTCATACTTAATTTAACAATTCTTGAGTCAAAAACACTCTTATTTTACTTAATTAAAAAATCAGTTGACTTTCATATAAATGTTTAGGTTACCTGAGTCACTCACGTGACCTATTGCTATCCATTTTCGCCCGGCTTCGTGCGTTATGCATCGTGCGTTTACATTTGAACATTTTCAGTTTCTTTTCTGCAACCGCTGAACCAATTTCAACTATTGTGACTTCTTCAGTAGTAAACCGGGTCTGCAAAAGACCTACTAGTAAACCAAATCTACGAAGGAGATTAGATTTGAAGGCAAACAAATTTTGGCATAGAACATCTATAAGTGAAGGGGAACAAAAGTGTGAATTTTATGGTCTCTGCGCCCCTGGGGCCTCAGGGGTGGTGCCAAAACCATCAAAATGAGTGCAATCTTTAAAAATCTTCTTCACTCCTGGACATCAGGCAGTCACACCGTTGGCATGATTGTAATAAGCATTGAACCCAACCAAACTTGTGAAATTCATGGCCCCAGAATCAAGGGTTCTGGAGTTAGGGTGGGGCTCTATTGATCATATAGTGACAATGCATAAATTCTTCTAAAATCTTCCTCCCCCTGTATATAAAGCCGATAAACTAGGCGCATGGTTATAATGAACAAGGGTGCCTCTTCCAAAATTGTGAAATTTATGGCCCAAGGGCGAGGGGTTCTCTTTGAAAGGGGTTTTTCTATTGATTATATAGTGAAAGTGCATTATTTCTTTGAAAATCTTCTTCTCTGCTCCTAGATATTTAGCAGATAAACTAAGTATAAACTTCTGATGACCAAGGGCTCCTCTTCCAAACCTGTGAACATCTTGGCCCCTGGGTCAGGGGCTCTGATATTGGGAGGGGCTCTTTTGATCATATAGTAAAACTGCAAAAAATCTTTAAAAATCAACTTCTCTCTCCCTGTATATAAAGTAGATAAACCAGGAGCATGGTTATGATGATTAATGGTGCCTCTTCCAAAATTGTGAAATTTAGGGCCCCAGGGTGAGGAGTTCTGCAGAAGGGGGAGGGGACTCTATTGATTAGATAGTGAAAGTGCATTATTTCTTTAAAAATCCTTTTCTTTGCTCCTAGGTATTTAGCAGATAAATCAAGTTTATAGTTATGATGAGCAAAGGCGTCTCTTCAAATAATTGCGAAATTTGTGGTCCCAGAGTCAGTGGTTCTGGTTTTAGGGCGGGCTCTATTGATCACAGTGAAAATTCAAAAAATCTTCTCTCTCCCTGCATATAAAGCAGATAAACTAGGTGCATGGTTATGATGAGCAAGAGTCCCGCTTCCAAAATTGTGAAAATCTTGTCCCTGGATCAGGGGCTTTGTTTTAAGGGTGGGGCTATATTGAATCTACGGTGAAAATGGATTATTTCCCTGAAATCTTTTCTGCTCCTGGGCATCTACATAGGCATTTCGCCACATATGATCAACATATGCGTTGCCTTTCATATGAGGGTCATATGAGAATCGTATGTATATTCAATCATATGTGGCGAATCATATATGGACCATATGATTTGCTTCATATGATTCACATACACATGTATGATGCCTTTTTTATGATTCTCATATGAAACCAATCATATGATTCACATATGATACACATATGTGGATCATATGTGGCAAAGTTGCCTGTGCTAGTCGATATACTGAGTATCTAAACGTTGCGTTGAGGGCCACAGCAAGAGTTTTCTTCTTCTCATAAAGAAGTTTTTGAATAAATTCTGCTTCATAGGAATATAAAAACAGATAATTAAAAAGTGTAATAAGAGTATCAGAGAACATACATGTACATATTTCATCATTACATTTGAATCAGTTTAATATATAATTAAAGGGAGAAAAACACCAATGGCATCATGTTCATTTACAAATGTATTTCTTATGAAAATCATGTATACAATTTTTAACGTTTTTTGCGTATACCGATTTGAATTTAAAAAAAAATTCGATTTGCGCACTTAGCAAGTTATAAACAGAACCTCAAAGGTGTCGGGAGAGGGAAACATTTCATCGGGCGTCCCAGATTAAAATTGGAAATAAAGTCTTCCTGATGGAATACTGTGGATGCCGATTGGCATATGTCGTATAATAAATTTCCACAGAGCTCATTAATTTCAATAAGTAAATCGTCATGGTATATGATGTATGACGATTCATCACTGTTTCTTGTATCGACAAGTCTCAAATTTTTAGCTCTTTTAGTTATGAACATGTCCATTATCCGTCTGTCTGTCTGTTTAGCTGTTATATATTTTTTAAAGCTACTCCTACAACAATTAATGTCAGATTTAAACAAAACTTCACACAATCATTGTAGTCTACATAGGGGTAGTTAAATAGTAACTAGTTGTGCATCAATTTTCTTTTTCATAGAATGTTATATATTCAATGAACTGTGTTGTCACTGTATTAATTTAGTCTACTTGCATTGCATCAGACTTTACTCAGGTCAGACAAAAAGAGTATGATTAATGAAGAGTAGCATTTTGATCAACTGTTTGTCCAAATTGAAAAATAAACACGTCTAGTGTTTCCAGGTCTCCGTGTTTTTTCCCCCTCTGTTCACGAATTGTTTGTTTACTGGATTTATGACTTCGATCGCTGTTCAAAATCTCCACATTTTACATGCATATACATCTTACCGATTATTCTGTCTCTATAAGTCTTGTTTCGCTTTAAAATATGGTTATTATTAATAATAATATATGGTGTTTAAACGTTGAAATTCTGTGATATATTTGATGAAATTTCAGTTGTGATCTATTATTGAAATATTGTTGTTTATTTTCATTTGTTAATTATATTCTAAAACTTGAGATTCATATTCATTTGAAAAGATGTTCATACAATGTAATATATATTCAAAAACTGTGATTTATATGTGAAATAGATGCGAAATCTTGTAATTTGTATTAGAAAACTTTAAATTTATATTCGAAAACGCGTCGGTTGACAATGGTTTTCCTTGGGGTGTCAATTTCGACTGTTGCCCTCCAAAACGGTCATCATTATATATATTGTTTACCACTTTTCATTATCTTCATCTTTTTATCCTTCGTTGTCTCATTAAAGATATCCTATATTTTGGCAACTGAACAAGGAATGATAAAGAACTAAGGTATCTCGATCCAACCCTTGGTTGAAAAAAGAATCTCATGACATACAAAATGTAGATGTATTAAGTCATAAAAAGATTTGAGCTGGCTTTGACAATGTCTTTGTATGTAAGATCCGATTTGATTTTTTTCTCCATCCCACCAGATAGTCTCATCCAGATATGTGGGAGATAGGGACACCTGTTCCCGTAATGCACCGCGGCTCTAGTGGTGTCCGGTGCCGTCGTCCTTTGAATATTCTGATAATCACAGTTTTATAATCATATCATAAATTCTATAACGTCCTTGTTTTATCGCAGAAGCAAATATTGGAATTGTATAAAACACTGTGGTGCTTATCTTAGAGAAATCATTACAGGAAAAATTTTGTTAAGAACCTCCATTTATAAAGCGTGAATCGGTTTATTAAATGTCATTTGAATTCTCAACGTTGGAATCTTTTACGAATTGAAAAAATGGCGGTAAGATTTGTGTTTCCTGCAAATGTTGATTAAGATTTTCGTTTCCTTTTCTGTATTGAAAATATTAATTACTATAAATCCATTTTTAAGAAGGAGGATGACTTTCATTTGGTTGAATACTGTACTCAAAGTCAGATTAATTAGGCTAGGGTGTTTATGCGGAAATGAGTACACTACGCGACTACTAGTACGCAACAATTTCAAAAATAAAAGAAAATCTTTTAAGGTTGTTTATTACATTTACCTATATAAAATTGATGATAAAACTGTTTATTATAAGAATTTTTTTCTTAATTTTAGGTGTATACGTTAAAGGCTTCTTTCCTGTTTGTCTTACTTTATGTGAAACATCACAAATGCTGCTCATTTCCTCAAGACGTTCCATGGGAGAAGTGTTCGGAAAATAACCCATGTCAGTGTTACTCGAAGTCAGCGATATGCAGCAATTTAAATCTGACCTATATTCCAAGATTTCCAATTAAAATAACACATCTCTGCATGTCCAATAACAAATTGAACCATATTAATAGGACTACTTTCATAAACTTAACATATCCTTTAACGAAATCTTCACAACTACAAAATCTTGTCCTCCTCAAAAACAGAATCAGGACATTGGCTAATGATTCTTTTGTCGATTTAAGAGACCTAACTCATCTCCACATCGAAGACGAAAGGAAATTAGACAAGATAAGTCTTGCAGGGAGTTTTCATTCACTAAGTCGCAGTCTACATACCCTGATATTAAACAGAATTAATCTCTCTAACCTACCATCGACATTCTTCCGGGGATTAGAAGGATCAAAGGTCATTAACATCACATTAGAGAGCAGTTATGTTACAAGTCTTAAAGATGGCCTTTTCTCTCCAGTTCTCGAGCTGCAGAATTTGTCTCTACACGATAATTTGCTGAATTCTGGAAAAGCTAATTTTTCTTCTCTTAAGAATCTTGTATCCCTCAATCTTTCAAAAAATGAGTTTGTTCGGATGCCAGTTTTCTGTGATTTTAATTTGAGTAACTTGAGGGTGCTTGACATGCACAGTAATAAACTTTCAACGCTGAAATATAAATTTAAATGTCTAGATAATTTAGAGTATTTGAATTTAGATAACCATGCAATACGGTTACTTTACTCCAATACATTCTCAATGCTCCCAAGTCTCAAAATACTGCACCTGAGTACAATGGCCGAACAACTCCATTTTATAAGAAAATACGCATTTAATAGTTCTAGTCTTCAGCAACTATATTTTAGAGATAATGCATTCCATTTTTCTATTGACCCTCCAAACTTTTACCCAGGCTCCTTATTTAAAAACAGCCCTAGTCTTCAGTTATTGGATTTGTCAGGAAACCTTTTCAAACACAATGAAACGGTCATGAAACAGATGCTGGGACCTCTTACAAATCTGGAATCGTTGTTCCTGGTGGACTGCAATCTGCATTATCTTCCACGTTATATATTCGGAGTTTTGCCAAACTTGCGTCAGCTTTACTTACAAACCAATATGATAGTGGAATGGAATGGCCACGATGTGTTTGGAAATTCAACAACTCTTAGGTATATTGACCTTTCTAAAAACCACATCGTTGTTGTGAACAAAACATTATTCCCGGGACATCTTCTACAATACATTGAATTCATAGAACTCCAACACAACCCGTTCTCTTGTAATTGCAAAGAGGTCAAATGGTTCCATGACTGGATGATAGAGAATAGACAGAAACTTTGCCCAATGAGGAGAGCCTGTAAAAAATTAGTATGTGCTTCTCCGTCGCATCTTAAGAATGAAGCTATTGTGGATTTAACAGAATCAGAAATGTGTCCTATTCCGGAATATTCTAAAGTTTTAGTAATTGCCATAACTTCCTGTTTTATTTGTGTATTAATGGTGACCCTGATCATATACAAGGCCCGATGGCACATTCGGTATTTGATATATATGTACAGATTTCGAAGGAATGGGTATGAAGCAATTGCAGGTCAGGAAGGTTTTGATTACGATGCCTTCGTTATTTATGCAGAGGAAGATCAAGAATTTGTGCATAAAATTCTGGTTCCAACATTAGAGGATAGGGAAGGCTATCATCTCTGTATTCATTACCGAGACTTTCAAGTAGGAAAGCTCATTGCAGATAACATCGTGAACAGCATTCAAAAAAGCCGAAAAGTCATTGTTATTTTATCGAACAGTTTTGCTAGAAGTAAATGGTGCGACTTTGAGCTAATCATTGCCCAAAATCGACTTATTTTGGAGCAAAATAACCTTCTCGTTGTCATTTTGATCGAAAAAATTGAACCAAAGAACATCACCAATTCACTGCGATTAATTCTCTCAACAGTGACGTATGCAGACTGGAATGCATGCGGAACAGAAGGAGAGAAGGAGTCTTTCTGGAATCAGGTACGCCACTCCTTTAAAAAGTAGCTAATACAACAACAATCAATTGCTGCTTGCAGGGATTGGATTTGGAATTTTCTTTTGAAAACATAATTATACATACTCTGATGTAGTTACTTATAGATGTGACTGACAGATTTTTCTTTATCGAGAATATTTTGTAAGAAATGGGTGTATATATTTTAGTAAAAAATATTTGTTTCGACTGCTTTTATTTCCGAATGTACTGTAGGTTTAATCTCAAATATATGATTGAGAAGAAACCAATTCTTTTCTTTTTTTTGTTTTGTTTTATTCACAAGTATTTGATCTAATTTATTTGGGATGCAAAACTATTTCATCCTCACAACATCAGGGGTCCTATGTCAACTCGTTGTCGTTGGACCCTGACAAATTCCATTCGATATCTTTGGGCTTGCTTCTCTCATGGAGAAGCACCAATCAAAATGAAGTAAACAGAAAGGAGTCAGTTGACACCTAAAATGCACGTGTTACGCATTGTTCATCACCGAAAGGCTTAATGTGATTGGTTGAGAGATAAGAAAATCAATCAAGATTTGTAATTTTGCCGAAAGATGTCGCTGCAGTCAGCCCGCAAGATATCGAATGAAATTTGTCAGGGGTCCGACGGCAACGAATTGACACAGTACATAAAAGACATAAAACATTATGTACATTATGTTGTATACTTAACAATCTCTGTTATAAACAATGCTAATATGGTATGGAAGGTTGTACTGCAATACCGTCATCATTGTTCGTAAATCAGTTGGATTTAAAGAAGCGGAAGAAGATGTCAATTTAGCTTGATACCAAAACTGTATTTTGCATGATGGAGAATGAACATGAACATTCTCATGAAAATTCGAATGTACCTGAAAACAATCACTGAAAGACAAGAAACGAAAAGAAACGGGGTCATATATTCGTTATTGAAGTAGGAAATTTGAGTGAGTTCCAGCTCTTCAGTCTTGACATTGTTTGCCAAAGTGATGATGGCTATAACTCTGACTTCACTGTGTTATCTATTAGAATTTGTATCTTTAATTTGTTGTTAAAACTAAACGATATATTGGAATGGAATAATAAAAAATATTACCAAAAATTGGAAGTTTGCTTTTTCTTTTGCGTGTCAGTATATGAGGGAAAAACAACGAATAAAAGATTAATATCAATATAACCATATTTCAAACCTGAAAAAAGTGTTTATCAATCATAACGAAGTTTATCCTAAAAATTTTACTGAAGCTCCAAACACTGCACACTGAAGAGTTCGAAATCCATGTTAGTTTCGATGCTGTTAAGTGATCTGTCCTTTGATTTATGATGGAATAGCCGGAAATCTACAGTAAATGACACAATTTGACATAAATTAAAGTATTTTTGACATTATATTAGACCAAGAAAAATTAATTGAATATATCATTCCATATATTACAAAGATTTCTGTTCATAAATACTTCGTTGTCTTCGAACATTTTTTCTGGGTAAATATGACAGGTACCCTTTATTAAAAATAAACTAGATAAACCCAATATACACCTTTATACAATACAATTTTCTCAGAGTCCCAAAATATTTTTTCATTACTGTTTGAAAATTCCTTTAAAAAGGAGAAAACAGCAAAATATTATTTAGAATTCGTTTGGATACACACACACCCTCACAGAGAGAGAGAGAGAGAGAGGAAGGAAGGCATGCTTCCTGATAAAATATTAGAGTAACGGATATTAAGCTCACAAGTTCATTGGAACAATACAGACTGGGCGCAGAGCAAACACGGACGTCTAAAAACATCAGAGGTGGGATTCCTAACACAGATTTGAGATAGTTTTTTTTTCTGAAATAGGATTTCTGCACGTAGTATTCAATGTCTGATGCTTTTTACCTTTCATTGACAACAAAATGCTTATTTCACATTTTTAGATGTTCCTTTAGGTTACTCCACAAGGGATCTCTAATACTAATGAACTAATAAATCTCAGAGAACAAATCCATTATAAGTTATAACAATTCTGCGTAAAAAGAATTAGAGTACTCATATCTCTGAAAGGGTTATCCAACGTTCAACGTTCTATCGCGTCTTCTCCATTTATGATTAAAGACCTCTCAATGAACTGAGAACCAATTGTTCAGTTTCTACTGACTGGCCCTTTTAAATATGGCGTTCTATTGTTTAGGAAAGATTATTAGCAAATGTTCTATAGTGATACTCCTTGATACCGTACGTTATTTTTTCTGGCTATATTTAGGTACTAGTATTATGAATAGGTTAATGACCATATAGATGTGCACAATCATTCAATATTTTCAAAAATATTATCAACAGAAAGATTATTTACCAATTTATTCATATTTTTCTTGCTTTATCCATTTATTTATTTCTTTTTTTTATTCATTGATTCGTGAATGATGTATCACATTCAGAATACTTAAACATGTTCAGATATTCACACTGTGACAGAATATCACTTTTATTCAAGAAATAAATAACGGTATTTCACTGTTGAAAATGTAATAATAATTGGAATAACGCTTTTCTAATGGCACATTATAAAACAAAATGAGTTACGTATGGAAAAGATGTATATTGTTCTATAACTAAACAGTTAATCAATTTTTGTGTAAAACATAGGAACAAATATGATGATTCGTGGCTTTAGCTCTTTCCTCATCGAAAAAAAAAATCATTTCGGTTAAAATTTCCGGTTGATTTATTTTTCCCCTTCATTTAACATTAAGTTTTGTCTGAAACATGCTTCAGGGATGATAAATTCTCACTTTCTTAGTCTGACATATTTTATCATCGGATGTACAGGATATTTGGTGGAAAAATCACATGAAACTGATGTCCATCCTAACTGGAGTACTAAAGTAGTAAAGTAATAACAAATATGGTAAAGTAGTAACAAATATGGTAAAGTAGAAACAAATGTAGTAAAGTAATAACAAAATTAGTAAGGTAATAATATGTAGTAAAGTAATTACAAAAGTGGTAAAGTATTTCAAATGTAGTAAAGTAATTACAGATCTAGTAAAGTAATACAAAAAAGTATTAAAGTCATAACAAATTAGTGAAGCAATAACAAATGTAGTAAAGTAATAACAAAAGTAGTAAATCGATAACTTTGGTAATATAATAACAAATTCAGTAAAGTAATAACAAAAGGAGTAAAATAATAATAACAAGTAGTAGGTAATAACAAAGGTAGTAAAGTAGTGGCAAATCTAGTAAAGTAATAACAAATCTAGTAAAGTAATAACAAATCTAGTAAAGTAATAATAAATCTAACAAATCTAGTAAAGTAATAACAAAATTAGTAAAATAATAATAAAAGTAGTAAATAAGTAACAAAAATAGTAAATAAATAACAAATGTAGTAAAGTAATTACATGTAGTGAAGTAATAATGATTTATTTGATGATGCAAAAATGTCGTGTAACAAGTTGTTAGCATTCATTTAAAAATATGTGATACAAACCTACAACTAGCATTCGTATTTTCTCCTCTTTCAATAAACATATCAGAGTAAGTCATATATTTATTTATATTGATCACTTATTCTCTGAAATATGATATCACCGTATCCAAGGCGATCTCGCCTTATTTTCCTGATTGGATCTCCATATTAAATGTTCATGGTATATTGATAGCACCGCGACTGGTTCAGTATTTTTTTATAAGTACTTAGAGCACGTGGCCCAGGTGAACTGTGAATGGAGTATTTATAAAATTTATTGTTACTGTTTTAGGATTTGAAAACGTGTGTTGTTGTGTAAGGATTAGTACACAGGAACTCAACAGACATTATCGATTGTTCTTATAACGTACTTCCACCTAGCAGAAATCATTTATTCCAGCGATGCCCGCTTTGGTTTAAAGGTAAGAATGAACTTATGTATCTGGAATTTAAAATCGGTAAAAAATCACAACACTACTTATTAATTGTACATGTAGCATAATCTAACATTGTGTAAGCGAGATTGACTTTTTTGTTATTGTTGGTGGAGACAATATAAAAAAGTAATCGATCCACTTCATAGAGAGTTTTTCTTTGGGGCTATATTTTGACATACAGACGAACAGTGTAATCAAGCTGATTCTAAGCTTTAATAGCCGTGGATTCTGATAAATATTAACAATGCATAATGAAAAAATATGTTTGCCCTCACTTAATCGACGAAAAAAAAAAATCAAACATCCGATATATTTTATCGTCTCTCAAAGATCCGTCTTATGTCAAATAATACTATAATGTCTTACACCAAGAGAAATCATATTTCTCACTTCCTATTGTTGCTCCTGTTATACAGTTATCTAATTTCCACCTAATTCTCCTTTGTACGAAAGAGGGTTAGCTAAGACAATTTGGAATAAACTTCATGATTCGGCACTATAAAGACACAAATGTTCGGTAATGATGATATTTAAAAATATCTTGTTTTGCACTCTCACAATCATAAAGTTTTTGTTGGTTAGTGTTGCAAAAAAAGTTTTAAAATTCGATATAAAATTTAAAAAAAATTCTATCAGTGAAATATTTTTTCTTTATTTTGTTCGTGGCTTTAATAAAGTTTTCAAGCTTTCCTAACTTGATTTAAAAATATCACAATTATATGTTGCTCTCTCTCTCTCTCTCGTACCACTATTCTGCATTGAGACACAAGATCATGATAATTTGTTGAATTCGAAATTACTGTGACAAACAGCACCAACGAAAAGGGATGGGATGTAATTGGGTTTTGCAAATTGAAGAAAAATTTTTTTTAAAAGCTCTCAAAATATCCATCATATAAAATAAGTTTTCCTGGTCAATGTTTCCATTTTTTCGATGAAGTTTTGTCGCTCGCGTGGCGCAGTGGTTATAAGGGCATTTGCTCTAGAATCGCAAGGGATTGATCCTTACTCGTTGCGGGTTCAAATCCACTGTGTGACGCGGAGGCCGGCTCTTGGGATGAGCCCATATAAAACGCAGTAGTTGCTAGCACGAAAAAGATTCCTCACTGCTCAAGGCCGTAAATGCCAACGGCAATTGGTGGCCTCCCGTGCCCCCGGTTCCTACGGCCATGGATTAAAATCAGACTTCTTAGACCCCCTCGGCATCCGTATAACTGCGTAAGAGTCCACAAGGCGCGGATATCAGAAGTCTGGTTTTAATTAAATTGATCCATGGCTTTGTATATGAAAATAAAATAAAATTTCATTTTAATATTTCAGAGTCATGGGTGACTGCTATCATAGACAAGAAGAGAGGATAGGTCGCGTCTTTGGTTTGTATGGACGCTTTCTGGAACGGCATCCTGTCAAAGTTCTAGCTATTGCTATCTCTGTTAACTGTCTCCTTGGCCTTGGTATGCTTAGACTTGAAACAGAAAGTGGATCTGAGAAATTTTACACACCAGAAAACAGCCAAGCTTCAAAAGATCGAGATTTTTTAAAGAATGTGTATCCAAGTAACTCTGATTTCTACTCGCACAAAGAGTCGTCCGACTTCACAGAAGTGCTCATTCTAACAAAGGACAGGGGAAACATGCTGACATCAGCATTTTTAGATGATGTCACGTCTGTTGACAACTATGTACGCAACTCAATTTCCGTCAATAATAAAACATTTGCTAACATATGTGCCAAACAGAATGGCAATTGTGTAGTGTCTGGGGACATCTTCTTGTCAAATGATTTCAAACAGATGATGCTGGCAAACAATATCACATACCCAATATTCAAGGAGTCTTCTATAAGTTTTCTTCTTGCAAGAGCATCTTCTTCTAGCGGAATACTCACATATGCCATGGGCCTGAAACTAACCTATTACCTCAGTGGAGCGAATTCTAAGGAATGGGAAAAAGCTTTTGTTGAATCCATTTCGGGTGCTGTTGTTAATGTCTCTGAATTGGCTCCATCTTATTCTCGTGCGTTAGATGATGAACTGGAGAAAAATATTGGGGGAGACATTCTTTTCTTCGCTTTGACGTTGACGCTAATGATGACGTATGCATCCATTGCCACATCGAGACAGAATTGTAATTTCATAGCAGACAGAAGTCTTTTAGGTCAAGCAGGTGTTTTGGCGGCTGGTCTCTCTATCGTGTCCTCTTTTGGTTTACTGAGTCTTATTGGAGTGAAGTATATAAGTATTGTCAGTGTTATGCCTTTCCTTATCATAGGTAAGCAAATGCAACTTAGGAAAAGTAGATATTCTCAATCTCCTGAAAAGTTTGATTACATCTTTTTAAAAGGTGGGATTATAAAGAATCCTTTGGGGTGCCCCCCCCCCCCTCCATATATGCTTCTCCATTCTTGTCAAGGTAATCCTTAACGGGTACATGATTTTGTCTTGGCGTTCCTATAATATCATGTCAAGGGTAGAATACTAATCCCATACTTACATTGGACAGTTTAGAATTTTAAACTACACATGTTTATTTTGAACTTCCATACCATTCCATTCAATATTTATCAAATTACGTTTATGATTGTTTGAATCTACAGGCATTGGTATCGACGATGTCTTTATTTTAATGTCTGGTATTGCTGATGCTGAGACTATAGAAAATTCCAGCGTATCGGACAGAATTTACTTTATGATGAAGACCAGTGGAATCGCCATCACAATCACCTCCATCACGGACTTCCTGGCGTTCCTGATCGGAGCAAGTTCGGTTTTCTTAAGCGTCCGAAATTTCTGCATTTATACTGGTAGGCTATTGTTATGGTTGCCACAGTTACTTATTACAAGTATAATAGTTTTTGATCTCTAAATTTCGATTTAAATGTCATTAAAATCTACAAATATGCTCGAAACTAGTACATGCATAGAAATGTACTATTGTTTGTGATATGTTTTGCTTTGTTGCAGGTGTTGCAGTACTTTTTTGCTACATCAATCAAATCACTGTTTTCTCTGCGTGCATAGCAATCAATGAAAAGAGGATTAAAGGCAATCGACACTGTGTGGCATGCTGTATAAGGACAAAAGATAGGGAATCGCTGAGGAAAGATGGGAAAACAGGATGCTCACTTTACGCATGTGCTGGATACCCACCAAAAGAACGAGACGATGTCGACAGCCCTTTGGAGAAGTATCCAAAAAGATTCATCCAAAAAATTATGAGCTACCTAGCCCTGAAGATAATAATCATATTTATTTTTGTAATTTACTTTGGATTCTCTGTTTTTGGTGCTGTCCATCTTAAACAAGGGTTATCTCTTCCAAACCTTGTCACGGAAGACTCCTTCTTTTACAAATACAGTACCTGGCTTGAGAATTACTTTACAACGGAGATCGTTATGTCGTTTAATGTCAAGACAACCCAGACGTACTCATCTTCTTGGACTCAAGGAGTAATAACATCGGTTCTTACTACAGCAAAACAAGACAAGGACATAGATCACGCATTTGAATTGAACTGGCTATCTGCCTTTAAACAATCTGCACTGTATGTGGACACCTCTGAATCTGCCTTCATTGCTGCTCTCCAGACGTTCCTGACAAATGTGCCACTGTATGCTAGTGATGTGGTGATAAATTCTGCTGGAACGAGCATTACCTCTTCTAGATTCTACTTGAAAACCAATAGCTTAAAGTCTTCTTATGACCAAGGGAAGATGATGCTGCGCATGCGGGAAGTGACTTCAAATTCTGCGATTCCCATGATCGTGTACGCTGATCCGTTCATTTTCTTCGAACAGTTTGTTGAAATTCTTCCAAGTACATTGCAAACTGTTGGAATTGCCATAGCTGTAATAATCTTCGTCACGATCGTCTTCATGCCTCATCCAACCCTGATCGTTATTGTCGGGGCTACCCTGTTTACTATCCTACTAGGGGTATTCGGCTTTATGTACTTCTGGGACATTTCACTGAGTTCCATCACCATGATACACCTAGTCATGACCGTTGGGTTCTCTGTAGATTTTAGCGCCCATATTTGCCACGCCTATCTTGCTGTAGATGCAGACGACAGGGCCACAAAAGTTCACCTCGCCTTAGACAGATCCGGAGGACCTATATTTAACGCGGCATTTTCTACCCTCTTAGGCGTTTCTATTTTAGGATTTGCAAACAGCTACATCTTTAAAACTTTTGGACAAATGATGTTTCTTGTGATATTTTTCGGTCTTGTCCATTCAGTTCTTTTGATTCCAGTGGTACTTTCATTTATTGGCCCATTAAAAAGTAAAAAAGAAGACAAAGGTGATGGAAAGAAGTCAATTACAAATTTACAAAGTTCTAAAACAACTTCAGTAATTCCTCTTTAATATTGGAATACATATACATTTAAGTTAAGCGACGCCATTTTTCATTGTTAAAAGGAAAAATTGAAGATAATACTCAGATGAAAATCAAAATGAATGCATTTATGACATATATTTGCTTCTCTGTACAAGATTATGTCAGCTAATTGAATTGCGTCTCTTCCTAGCAAAATACACTGTACAAGCCCCCCCCCCCCCCCCCCCCCGGTCGTATTTTATTATACGGATTCTCTTATATATGTACAACTGTAAGCAAGGGCAGATCCACGATATCTGCAAGGAAAAAGAGGGTTGGGATATATTACCGAAAAATTACTTTAGTATGTATTTGGGTTTGTTGTCCTTTCTGTCCCTTTTGAATCTGCTTGTTAACCATCGACTCAACAACAGTGTGGATCAATTAGGCAAGAACGTTAAAAGTGGTACCCCCCAAATGTTGAGGTTCCTAAGACTTAAATTTTATCAAGGCAGAGCCTATCATGCCTATGAGGTTAGGATGGGGTTCCATTAAAGATTTGGAGTTTTACCTAGTAATGTTTACTCTTCTAAAAAACAGCAATTTAATGCTATAGCTGTAACTAAGCTTTATTCGCAACTTATCCCATTGTAGCGCTGATTCAAGTTTGACCAATTCGTGGGCAGGGGTATGAAGTGGAGACCCAGTGGGAGATTAGAGATAATACAGGAATAAGAAAAAAAACTTAACTGTGAAATTAATGCTTTAAAATCATCAGTTACAGCATACTTGTACATGGCATTTGCCTTGTTTTGAAAGGAAATTCATCACCTACGTATTCATTTTGGCGAGAGAGAGAGAGAGCGTGTAATGAGACACAGATTAGGGTAGTGGCCAGTGTGTCCCTTGTTTTTATATACTTTTAGGATAGAGTTCATAAAAAAAAATTTCAAGTTTATAACAAGTTTTTACGTTTTACTTCCATCAGTTTCGGAGAACGAAAGTGTTATTTTCCACTTAATCACATTTCTTTATCAAATGGCATGACTGTGATTGAAATTGTTATTTGAATATTCTTATATTTATAATGTGTGAAATGTTGAGGTCTTTGTGCCCAATAAAAATTCTCAGTCACTGGACACAATACAGTTTTATCAACTGAAGACTTCAGAACTGCATTCAAGATCATAGGCACTTAACTGTTAAAAAGATATATATCTACTGTAATACAACATAACAAGGTTAATGTTTATAATAAAGTAGATATATTTATTTTAAAGCAATATAAAGCTGCATTTTTGAGAATTTAATTTGCTCTTAAAGGCTGCTATTTTGATAAAAAAAAAAAAAAAAAATTGTAATTTGAACCTTTTTGATCAATTTGACTTAAATAAAGTGTTTTAAATTGTTTCAGAAGAAAGACTTCTGTACAATGGAATATACAATATTATATAAGGAGTCAACATTGTACAGGATGAAAATAATATAATTCTGTAATTCTGCTTCAACAAAACCTTAAAAATAGTTCTTCCATTGCAAATAAAAACAACAGAAGTTTATAAACGTTCTTTTTTCTTGTCATTGAAATTGTTAATTACAATTTTGCAACAAAAATTTCTGACATCAAAGTTGCAGCTCATATTGCTTTAACAATTAATCTGAGGATTGCCTATGGGTTCAAAAATATTCAAAACATATCTAAAACATGCTTGAATCAAAATCATTTATTCAGTATTAATTCTCTCTTTTGACAACAGTCTAGCAAAGGTAAATATAATAATATATTAATCAACAATGGTCCAATTTACAAGCCTCCGTCTGTTGATGACAAATATTGATTTTTCCCTCTACAATATGGAGATTTATTACATTTTCAATGGTGAAATACTGTGACTTATTTATTGAATAAAAGTGATATTCTGTCAAAGTGTGAAAGGATATCAAAGTGATATTCTGTCACAGTGTGAAAGGATATCAGAGTAAGTATAAAATGACTTCTGGCCTGTCATAAGATACTGATAGTAACTACACCATCTTGATAGAGACTAAAACTGCCAATTTGAATTTTCTTCCCAATTATGTTGCAAAAATCCATGTGACAATGTTTTCAATCTCACAATTGCTTAAGCTACAACGTCTCAACCGCTCAACTATGAAGTCACAGCCTATGACACCGTGTTAAGAAAGGGAAATCAATGAAAATGTAATAAACAGAAAATTCAATGTTTTGTAGTTGGATATGGAATTTATTTCACTTGTGAGACAGGATTTTTTTTATGTTTTCACTCATGCTTTGCACTCGTGAAAATATCAAAAAATCCTGTCCCACTCGTGAAATAAATTTCATATCCAACTACAACACATTGAATATCCTCTATATATACTACCTATTTAGACTTGTAATTTCGATCATTATCACCTCACCTTTTTTAATGAAATAGTTCTAAATTACTTTTACAAGACTACTATTCTTTCACATCTTTTTCTTTCTAAAACATGTACATAAAAAATTCAAACATTAAAGAATTTTTCATGACTTTTTTATGAAATTATATATTGCTGCTAAATATGCTATTTTTTATGCCAATACCTAATCCTTCATTTTAGTTGCATTCATTTTCATTGGGATTAAATTCATGGTTTTGGGAACACACACACACACACATATATATATATATATATATATATATATATATATATATATATATATATATATATATATATATATATATATATATATATATATATGGTTTTGATAATATGTAAATTTTTGGATAATTACCTCATCCTATTCTATCATTAATGAATTTTCCAGTTAATTTATCACCCTATTTTGTTGTCTGGCTCAACCATGAAAACAACGAAAAATACTAGTAGGTGTTCAACAAAATGAATACAACTTTGAACACAATTCTCAAGAAAAACCATTTAATGTAAAATTATTTGCCTTATTATTTTGAAATACACTCAAACCTTCTTATCTCGAACCCATTGGGACCAAGAAAAAACTTCGAGATATCTGAGGATTTTAAAAATCCAGGGTTAAGTACTTAAAGAATAAGGGGTTGGGACTTCCAAATCCAACATATCCATGGTATTTGAGATATCAGTATTCGAGATATGAAATACATTAATGTAAAATGAGACTTTTATGGAAAGCAACAGGGGGCCAGAATTGACTAGGGGATCCCCTGTAGTTTTCCATAGACTTCCTTATCTTTTGTGACCTCTGAAAAATTACCAGTACCTCCTTTTGACATTAGCACTGATGGCACTCTACATAAGGTGAAGATAAAGCAGGTGGGCAGAAGATTTCTTCCCATTTTACACAAGTGGATCTTTTTGTACCTTTCAAACATTCTTCAGACTCTCTGTTAAATTATACAAAAGAGTAAGTCTGACCATTCATGACAAAGAGCTAAATTAGATATTAAAAACATCATTCAAATGAGAAACACACACACCAAGTATAAAAATATAGTACAATAATTTGAGAAAATCTGTTGAATTGACAAAATGGCTGTACATTGTCTATGATGAACTTGATTCTAAACACACTAATTTCTTGCACAATAAGATATGCCTCAGTTTACAGGGTTTCCATCTACTGAAGCCATTCAGGTCCACATGTACTATACATAAAACATAGGTAATCAAAGATTACGAAGCTCACCTCGACGAAGGCTATCTATAAGTAAGGCAAATCTCACATCATATTTTTTCTAGTTAGTGTTCATCCCAAGATCAATATGCATTCAAGTTTGGTTTAAGAAGGACTTATCGATACTTGGAAATAGACCTGCTCAAAAAACTTCTAACCTGTTTACTAATCAAGAAAATTTTGGACAGTTCCAACAACCAAAGCAAGTCTGGAAGTTTTCATCCTTAGATGTACCATCCAAGCTGTTTAATCATAACATGCCATAATATTATATAGCTACTCCAAAAACATTACTCTGGTCACCCATCTGGAAAATGTAGGTCAGATTCAGAATCCAGAGCAAGTCTGAAAGTGTCCATCCTAAGATACATCATCCATGCTAATTTGATTAAAATATGGCTAAAATTCACTCATCTGGAAAATCTAGGTCAGATTCAGCATCCGAAGCAAGTGTGGTAGTGTCCATCCCTAGATGCATCATCCATGCAATTTTGGTCCAGGTAGGGCTTATAGTTACTTGGGAATAGACCTGCTCCAAATATAGGTCAGATCCAGCATCCGAAGCAAGTGTGGTAGTGTCCATCCCTAGATGCATCATCCATGCAACTTTGGTTCAGGTAGGGCTTATAGTTACTTGGGAATGGACCTGCTCCAAAAACTTTAACCTGGTCACTCATCTGGAAAATCTAGGTCAGATCCAGCATCTGAAGCAAGTGTGGTAGTGTCCATCTTTAGATGCATCATCCATGCAAGTTTGGTCCAGGTAGGGCTTGTAGTTACTTGGGAATGGACTTGCTCCTAAAACTTTAACCTGGGACGCCGACGCCAACGCCGGGGGTATAGCATAAGCTCATCTCGACTTCGTCGAGGTGAGCTAAAAATTAAAGGCGTGAATGATAAAACTTTTAAAATTAATATGTGAGTAGCATACCCTTTTCATCATCTTAATAACAGTTCATAAGTCCAGAAAACAGGACTATATTCAATGACAGCATGCCACTACAGTGGGAAACAGGTTTGTCTTTTTTCCTTTGGTCACTTTTAATCAAGAATAGTTTAACAATTTAACATTCATATTCTTTCAAATATCTCATCATACATGTAATACTAAGTCATTAAGGTATCCAACCCATAATAGCCTCAGATTCAATGAATCTGAATGCATTACAGATACATATTGGCTGAATACTCGGTATATTTATTTAATCTTCATGTTTTAGTATCAATGTATAAGAGCGGAATGTGTCCTATTTTTTGACCTTGTCCTCTCCTTGAAGAGTTACTCCCCTTTGGTTTTAATCACTAAAAATCAATTCTAAAATAAAATTATCTGGTAAAAAACTAGTTTTCAATCGTTTTTCTATTCTTAATAATTAAATACATCTTTCCACCACAGCATTTTTTGATATTCTTAGTATTTCATTAGTTAATTTCTGCTTAGGTAATTATATTTTTGACAATTTCTCTTGGTAAATCCTTTTCTTCTCTAAAATGCTTTGAATTAATATCAGAGTATTTAAAACAGGATGGATATTTAAGGTCAGAAAATTAGGTCTTAATATGGATCGGATACCTTAAGCATTTTGGGAGGGAAATGGCACATACGTTAAAGCAATTAACATCAAATATTATTTTTTTAAGACTGTGGGTATGTACTTGTGCATTTTCAATGGTAATGTTTTAAGAAAAAATGTTGAAGCTGACAGCAAAATTTTATACCTCTGTTTTCATAACAGAAGAAGAAAAATTATCTAGTTACAACAATTTCTTTGAAAAAAAGAAAAGAAATACAATCTACAAAATTCTATGAAAATTCTATGCCTGCCCAATACTTTACATCTTTGTCAAAAACAAATGGTAGGATCAAGTCTGAGCAGTCTCGTTTGGAAGTTTTGTATCTTCTGAAGTTTTCTTCTCATTACCAAAAGATTTACTGTAATATTTTAGTGCTGTTTCTTTGAATTTTTCAATTAACTCCTGTGTGTTGCTTTTGACACTGCCAAGGAAAACCATGACTCTGGTCTCCATGGGTTTCCAGTAATGTTCACACACGTCATTCTTGCTATCTTTACATGTTGTGTAAAACACACCAGTCATTACTGCTACCAAAAGCACAAGAATGGCAAGGATGGTGAGGCATGAAATTCTGGATTTTGAATCTGTACGATAAAGAATAAAAATTAGAATACACGAGTCATATTAATACACTTATCAGAAGAAATAGAGTACTCAGTAATCAATCAATTAGGAGCTGCAACATAATACTTTAATTTCATTAAAGCATCATAAAGTTTGATTATAGTATATCCCTGTTGTTTTTATCCCCATTTTTCTATCAATACATTTCAGATTCTGATCTTGTTATCAATTCTCCTCCTGATTTTCAGAGGAAGCCAAAAATTGTTTTGGAACATGTATTGAATGGCTGATCAGGTTGTGCACTAAGGCTTCAAAATTTCAATTTAGACTCAAAAAGCATAAAAAAGTATCATTAAACAAGAAATGTTTGCAAAGCAAATATGCCCCCCCTTTCAATTCTAAAAAGGGAACTACTTTACAAAAGAAATGTTTGAGAAACATATATGCCTCCCCACCTTCAATTCTAAAAAGGGAACAACTTTAAATTTAGAATGTCTATAATGATAGTGGAAACAACTGGTCATCATTTAGTCAGGGAGAAACATAATGCTAAGATCTCTATCATACCTCAATATCATTAGAAGGAAAGTACTTCTTAGAGGGTACCAGTATACCAAAATAAATGTCTCTAAAGCAAAATGATTTCCAAGAAACTGAGCTAACAATATGTCAAGCATCTTTGTTGTTTGACCCTTGACCTTTAAATATTGAGCTTGTGACCTCAAAATCAACAGGGGTCATTTACTCGGGGGGGGGGGGGGGGGGGGGTGTTGTTACCAGTTTACCAAGTTACCAAATTTTATATCTGTCAAACAAAGGGTTTTCAAGATATAGAGAAAAAAACACTTGCTCAACTGACATACCAACCAACACGTCAACCTACATGTCCAAAGCAATATGCTCCTTTTTTCAAGTAGGGATGAAAATCAAGCTTTTCACTGGAACTTCTCTTACATTTTTATAAATAAGTGGTTGCAAAAATAATCTCCTTACATATGATTAGTATATGACATTATATTTAAAATAAAACTCTGAATAAAGATCTTTGCCTAAGAGCTCCCTGAGACTCATTGCATATAAGTATGAACTGTGAAACCTAAACTCAGATTTCAGAATGCTACTATTAAAAATATAATTTAATTATTAAACCATGCAAACAAACAACCCCTCACAAACACAGGTCATTATTTTTTTTAAATATGTTGCAATTGAAAATTTTCTGCATTTACATCAAATGAGGATAAATCAAAGCATGAGATAATCTGGAACAAATTGAGTGCATGTCCTGTTTTCTATTTTTCTACTGCTAAAAACAGTAAACCTCATGTGGTCCAAACCAGATACTAAATTAAAAAAAAACACTCATTAGTGTTTTTCCTTTATTTTTTCTTCTTTTTCTTTTAATCAAGTCTATTTAAAATTGTCAAAATTTCCAACTATCTCCTAAGAGTATTTCTAATTACAAGGAATCAATTCAAGTAAAACTTCTGTTTATTTGTTTTCTTGGTATTAAATCTCAGAATCAAATAACCTTAATTATTTCCTCACCTGTATTTTTTTGTCTGTCTGTTTTGCTTCCAATGTTTCCATTCTTTCCCTCTCCTATAACATAAATTATTATAAATGAACAGGGCCATCATTATTATTTTTTTTTTTTTGGTTTGATCTACTCTAGCCAAAATTTTTCAAATTAGGTAGGAAGGGTTACGTTTTTTTTTTAAAATTACATGTATCTAACAGATTGATAAACATAAAAGTCACAAACTTGGAAATTTATTGATGTTTTATTATGCACCAGACAATATTTAATATTTATTGATATAAAAAAACTTACAACCTACAAAATGTTGCAGAAAATGATAAACCTTAAAAACAATACAGAGGATCTGTATTTTCCACTGACAAAAAAAAGGTCCATGGGCGACAATGCTCACCTGAGTAATTATACACTCCTCCTGTTCTTTATCAGCAGATTTTTCCCTAATATATTCCTATGTAGAATTAAGATAATATATTATGGCCTCACCCTTCCCTTAGCCCCACCCTATCTTCAAGTGTCATGATTTTAACAATCTTGAATCTGAGGATGCTTCCATATTAGTTTCTACAATACCTGAAGATGCATCATGGCTTTGTTGTTCTTGAGAAAAAGAATTTTAAAGATTTTCCCAGTGTATTCCTATGTAAAACTTTGATCGCCCAAAGTGGCCCCACCCTACCCTCTGATATCACGATTTGGACAAAACTAAATCTACACTACATAAGGATGCTTTCATATAAATACAATTAATCATGACATTGCTGTTCTTGAAAAAAAGAATTTTAAAGATTTTTCCAATGTATTCCTATGTAAAATTTTGATTGCCCAACCCTACCCCAGAGGGTTATGATTTGGACACTACCTGAGGATGCTTCCATATAAATATCACTAATCATGACATTGCTGTTCTTGAAAACAAGAATTTTAAAGATTTTTCCTATTTGTATCCATGTAAAACTTTGATCGTGAATAGTGCCCCCCCCCCCCCTCCCTCCTCAGGGTCATGATTTGGACAAACTTAAATCTACACTACCTTCAGATGCTTCCAACTAAATACGACTAATCATGGCATGAAAAGAAGACTTTTAAAGATTTCCCCTATGTATTCCTATGTAAACTTTGATTGCCCATAGTGGTCCATCCCTACCACTGGGGGTCATGATTCGAACAGACTTGAATCTACACTGCATGAGGATGCTTCCATATAAATATGTATGACTAGTCATGACTTTGCATTTCTTCAGGAGAAGAATTTTAAAGATTTTCCCCAGGTATTCCTTAATTAAGCTTTAATCACTCAAAGGGCACCTCCCTACCCCCAGGGGTCATGATTTGAATCTACATAACCTGAGGAAGCTTTCAATTTAATATGACTTATCAGGACCTTTCTGTTATTTGAAGTTTTTTTCCCTATATATTCCTATGTAAAACTTTGATTCCCCATTTTGCCCCACCCTATCCTGGTGGGTCATGATTTGAACAAACTTGAATATACTATACCTGAGGATGCTTCCACATCAATATGACTAATCATGACTCTGCTGTTCCTGAGAAGAAGATTTTTTTAATGATTTTTTTCCTATATATTTCTATGTAAAACTTTGATCCACCATTGTGGCCAAACCCTACCCGGTGGGTCAGGATTTGAAAAAAATGAATTTATATGTAATGAAGGTTTCTACTAAGTTTCAACTTTTTTGGCCAAATGATTCTTTAGAAGATTTTAAAAGATGCCTGCAAATTTTCACATTCTTAATTATCTCCCCTTGAATGAGGGCATGGCCTTTCATTTGAAGAAATATGAATCTGCCTCAGCCAGGAGTACTTTGTGGCAAGTTTGGTTGGTTCTGGAGAAGACGTCTAAAATGTGAAAAGTGAACAGACAGAGGTACAGACAGACAGATGGTCAAGGGACAGGTGAGCTAAAAACTAATTTCACACAATATGGGAATGCCTGCAAATTAATGGTTCTCTAGTGTTTCTTTGGAAGACTTTATAAAAGAAAATTCTGAGATATTTCAAAGTAAAACTTTTAACACCTTTTGGGGAATATTAATGCGATGTATTTACACAACTAAAAGTGGGTTTTAAGAAGAATTTTTAAAGATTTTTCTTATATATTTCAATGTAAAACTTTGATCCCACATTGAGGCGTAATCCTAAACCCGGGGTCCATGATTTGAACAGTTTACAAATTACACTTCCTTAGGAAGCTTCCACAAAATTTTCAATTTTTCTGACCCAGTCGTTCTTGAAAAGATTTTTTTTAATATATTTTAATGTAAAACTTTGATCCCCTATTGTGGCCCCAGCCTAACCCCAGGGATCATGATTTGAACAATTTAGAATCTACAATTCCCCAGGAAGCTTCCACTTAAGATACACCTATTAAGAAGATTTTAAAGATTTTTTTCTAATACATTTCAACGTAAACTTTGATCCCCTATTGTGGCCCCACTTAAACACCCCCCCCCCCCCCCCACCAAACTTCCAAAAAAGTTTCACTTTTTATTTTATATCCCAGTTCTTGAGAAGAAAATCTTTTAATGATCCCACCCTATTTTTGCCCTTTCATGATTATCTACCCTTGGAAGCTGACTTGTTCCTTTGTTCAATCCCTTTTACCAAAGATGCTTTGTGCCAACTTCGGTTAAAACTGGCCCTGTGGTTCTTGAGAAGAAGTCGAAATTTGAAAAGTTTACAGACGGATGGACAGACAGATGGACACTAGACAACTGGTGATCAGAAAAGCTCATTAGTGCTTTCAGTTCAGGTGAGCTAAAAAAAATATGCAAAAGCTCATTTTCAGCTGAGTTCAACAGCTCGTATTCTCGTTTTACCATGTTTCTTATCAGGTGAAGAAGACATGTCCCCCTCTGCTGCAGATTCATCCTTCCTCTTCTTGTTTTCAAGTTTCTTCTGTTTTCTCTCTCGTCGCACTCTTTCTCTTTCTGCCTCTTCTTGATCTTTTTGTCGTTGTTTTGCCTCTGTAAGATTGAATGATCATATATTCCATTATATTCAAGTAGAAGTGCTGCTGAAGGATAGCAGTTCCTGATGATTTCTGCTTTGCTATAAAGGCAATAATAAGCAGCACAAGGTTTAGATACATTGAATTCATAGAACTAAAAGCCTTCATTCTAAATAGGCAGTAGATAACATCAGATATAAAGTAACATTGATGTTTTGAGTAAATTTCAAGAATTGAAAATTAAAAGTACTTTATTCATTGATATGGTGATACAATATGTCTGAAAAAATTTCAAATATGAGTGTAAGGTAAATGTATAAAATATGCAAGTTGTACATAGCTTTTTTTAACAAGTCTTACTAAAACGTAATCAGGATGCTTTGAAAAATTGCTACTGAAAGGAATATATTCCTTTACTTTAGTAATCTATTAAATACCTCGTTCTTCTCTTAGTTTCTTTTGTTTTAACCTCTCAAGTTCTGAATTATAATCCCTGAGGTACTTTAGAACCTAATAAAGAAAAAAATGTTTTCAAGAACATGTTTTCAAAAACAAAGATTGAAAAGTAAGAGTTCTTTTTCTTCCAGATTTATTTTGCAAAAATTAATGCAAATAAATTACTCTGATACATGTATATATATATATATATATATATATATATATATATATATATATATATATATATATATATATATATATAAGACTCCAAAGTGCGATGGGACTCCAAAGTCCGATGGTCACGCCAAAGTCTGATGGTCTGAGCCAAATCCTAATGGTTTGACACGCCAAAGTCCGATGGTGTAGAAAACAATTAACATTTATGACGTCATAGTACTACTACGGCAAACTGCAATGCTGCACCATGCCAAGGTCAGATTGCTTTTAAAAATAAATACAAATAAATATTTAATGCAAGGACTAATCCTAATCTTTTGGATAGATGCGAGACTCTTCCTTATCAGTAGAAATGTGTGTAACAACTATAACCTAGATATCTTGGGTGGGTGCAAGACTAACCCTTATCAGTCGAATAGTATGCGAGGACTAACCCTAATCAGTCGAATAGTGTGTGAGGACTAACCCTAAATCTCTCAGGTAAGTTCGAAGTTACTCATTGTTACTCAAATAATGTACAAGGATTAACCCTCATCAGTCGAGTGGTGTGTGAGGACTAACCCTAATATATCTGGTGGGTGCATGCAATAAGCAAAATCAGTAAGATTGTATGCAAGGATGAATACTGAATTGATAGCTTTTGAATGCAGGACAACGGCGTCAAGGATTGATGTTGGATTATTGTGACGTCATAAACCTTGATTGTTTCTCCGCACCATTGGACCTTGGCGTATCAGACCATCGCTCATTAGTGCAACACGTCTCATAGGAAACGAGCCATCAGACTTTGGCATGACCGTCAGACTTTGGCATCCGTATCGACAACAAACCATCGGGTTTTGGCGCAGACCATCGGGGTTTGGCGTGACCATCGGACTTTGGAGTCTTACATATATATATATATATATATATATATATATATATATATATATATATATATATATATATATGTATGTATGTATGTATGTATGTATATATATATCAGGGATGTTAAATCGGTCAATTTTTGATAATCGGTTACTCGGACGTTTTTCCGATCGAGTACCCGGGTACTCGGCAAAAATGTAAATACAAGTGTTTTAATTTTCTTGAGCCCAGTTAAGCTCTGTTTAACCCCAAAGATGTTTTTATCACGTTTATAAATGTATATAAACATAGATTCCAACACAAATGATCATTTGGTACTAAATTTATTTATCAAATAAACACGAAAGACACAATTAATACATAAAAAATTACGAATGGTTTACAGTTCTTGTTTAGGATTAAACGCAAAAGGAGCTAGTACAATCTGTTACGTACATATAGGTTTGTGATGATAAGACTAGCGAAAGAGGAGGAACGGACGTTGTTGGGATCGCTAGTCTAGTATCATTTCATTTGTTGGTTGTTTCCCCCGTATACACTTAACTTCCTACGCAAACTGACTTTTAACTTTTTTTTTAATCTTTAGTTATTTCTAAATATTTCTTCACTTTTGAAGTGGGTTATGCATGTCCGATTTCGCTGTCGTTTATTAAATAAATAATTTAAAAATGATTTGAAGATAATAGACCATACTTAAACGATGTTCCATGAAAACAATCATTGAAGCCTTCCAAAAATAGGGCCACAGTAGGTGAGAACAGCTGTGTACCAGGTGATTGGTGACTAATTACTGTATGTACACAGCCACAGGCGATAACTGGTGTTTTACAGGTGTTGATGACGACACGCTAATTACCGTGTGCATATTGAAGTTAATTTTTAAAGTTTTTGACAAAAATTTGTACTTTGAAATAAGAAAAAATACACATCAGAGTAACTGAGTACCATTTTTAGTATTCGATACTCGGATGTTCGATCGAGTATCCGGTTACCGGGTACTCGTTGACATCCCTAATATATATATATATATATTTTATATATATATATATATATATATATATATATATATATATATATATATATATATATATATATATATATATATATATATATATATATATATATATATATATATATATATATATATATATATATATATATATGTATGTATTTTATTCAAATGAATACCGTAAAAATAATTTTTTTAAAAAAATCATTATTAATCAGCAATTTCCCTGGTCACTTTCTTACTTGAGCTGCACACTTCTTGCACTGGTTTTCATCCAAACAATCTCCAGCAATTTTCTTAAGGTCAGGCTGGAGTGGATTATCCTTTAGGTCCAACCACTTTAGTTTGGTCAGCTTATAAAAACTAATGGGAAGAAGAGTTAGCTGGTTTCCTAAGAGATCAAGGTGCTGAAGATTCTGTAGGTTTCCAAAGTTGTCAGGAAGTTCTGTTAATTTGTTCTTACTGAGGTCAATCTTTACCAAGTGGGTCAATGAGCTAAAATTGTCCTGCAATATAAAATCAAATTTTTCATTGTCTGACATATTCTAATATCATAAGTGTTATTCACTGCCTTCAATGGTATTTATTCTGAACTACCAGGTACTTAATAAGCATCATTATCAATTATTACGGAGGCAGATTGGTAAAAGTTTTGTACTTTGTTCTTGAATCTTTTTTTTTTTTTTGATTTTCCTTCATTGTATGTTTGTTTTCATTGCTATGAATCATCAAATAAAATATAGTTTAAATTAAATTATTAATACTTTGTATATTAATCATAATAATAAGTGACTATATTGGGAAATTTTTGTAACCACTTACTGGTAGAGATACAAGTTGATTGCAGGATAAATCAAGCCTTGTCGCTTTTGGAATGGCAGCCTATAAAGAAAGATTTCAATGAGTTTGTTAGAAAAAAGTGTCACTGAGTACAAATCAAAGTTTGTTTTTCATCAACTTCTGCGTATTACTCACAAATTGATGTTATGGTCTCAACTCTTGAAGTGGACCCTCTTTGCATCAATTAAACTGTATGAATTTACGCTCACTTTTCTCATGCTATAACATGCTCTAAGCAAAATATACATCATACATCACTGTTTGACAGCTCAAGGTGTTGCTTGATTTTCAAGCATGTCACTACCTAGTCAAAGACCAAACTAGCAATGAAATTGTACTAATATATGCTATTTCACAAACTAGAGGTACTGTGAGCACTATACCCCCCCCCCCCCCCCAATATGAGTATAATGGCAAAGTTTTTTGCTATAGGAAAGCCCATATATCTGTACAGTCAAAAGATAAAGTAGGAGGTACACAATGGTACTATGAAATAGTGAGTGTTGCTTGACACTGTGAGCTCTTAAAGCAACACCTGATCGAAGAGAAAATTCAGACTTTGCACAATGATCGAAATTAGGGAATAACTGTCTTCCCATTTGTTATTTGCATTTACTGTCATAAACAAACTTTTTACAGGTTCCGCTTACACATTGCTGGTAAATCTGGGTTTGTGACTGTTAAATCAGCATTAATGGTTTCAAATAACAAATGAGAAGATAGTTATTCCCATTCTAATGCAGTCTGTGCATTGTGTTTGATGTTTATGTCTTATTTTGTTGAGTTTTGTTACATGAAATACGTCAAGTGTTGTGTTTTTGCATTGTTCTAATATGTTGACGGTGCTACTGTTGGGGCGAGCGCATTGTTAACTTAGATCCGCCTCTTCAAACTGCATGAGACATTTGGAACGTCTAGACTTTGACGTCACATGACGTCATATGTTAGCTGCATTTCCATAAACAAAGTTTGAAAAGTGCAAAAATTTTAACAAAGAACGTTTAATCTACTATTTTTATGCAATATCCATTAAATTAAGGTGAGTTTATTTTTTGTGATTTTTTGTTGTTGTTGAACGAAGTTTATAGCAGGGAGAACAACAAGCGGTACATCGTGGGTCCAGAATTACTGCGAAAAAAAATTCTATTGAATGAATGTGCAGTAGTCCTAATTTTCTCTTTGCCCAAGCGTTGTCGTTAGAGCTCACAGTGATGAGCGGCGCTTTGGGCTACTTGCGGCGCTCGCTATTATGACTTCACCATCAAATGCTTTCACCCTCGTTAATGCTTGTTTAACTGCCTTAAACATTAGCCTATCAAAAATTAGCCTATCAAAATGGATTATATAAAACAGGTGTATAAGAATGATTTTTTCCTGCAATAACTTTGAGACCCATGCTATGCAACGCAAATGAATCTCGCTGCTAACTACATTCTTGCGTTCATCAAAAAAGAAACTTACGGTACCTTAAATTAATGGATATTCCATAAAAAAGTAGATTAAATGTTCTTTGTAAAAAAATTTGCATCTTTCAAAGTTTTATAATTATGAAAATGTAACTAACATACGACGTCATGTGATGTCACGGTCTAGACGTTTCACGGTCTAGACGCCTGAAGAGGCGGATCTAAGTTAAAACTGAATAGGTATCCAATAATAAACATATCTGCACCCACCCAAACTGTCGCACCGTCAGCATATTTTAATCAAGGGATTGTCAGATTGTACCAGACGTGGCCTCTGTTTCACAAGACAAAAAATCTGCCCGACTTATGTTCAAAAGGAAAAAAAAAAATCGTACATACCAATTCTTTAACAGGAACTGTATCTAAATTGTTGAGACTTAGGTCGAGCTCATTTCCTTCAAGCTTATCCCTCAAATTATCTTTCGGCATCTTGAACGTTTAAAGTGAAAGTTATATATTGCACACCGGAAGCTGCTGTCATGTTCATCCGAGTTAATACAATGTTTGAATTGAGAGTCAGAAAGCTGTTTCATTTCCTCGATTGTTCATTTCGTTTAACGTTACTTTTTTTTCAATTTCTGTATATTAAAAACGACTTTTGAAAGATCAGAACAGTTACGCAACTTAAGTTTTCTTCCTGATTTCTTCTCTGGATTTTTAAAATTTCTAATCGGGTTCGGAAAGCAAAATTCTAATTCAAGCACAAAATTCACATTGATTTTTCGCATGTTCGGTGTCCTTCCACGGTCTTTTACGTAAAACTATGGTAAGTACGTTATTATCATTATCGTGATGGTAATGTAGAAAACGTTTAATTTTGCTGCGATAAATAGGAAAAATAATCGGACATCATTGTCAGATGAGTGTGATGGAATAGATATTTTCGAATAAACAGAATCATAAATGGCATATATGGTGTATCAGTGAATAATATTAAATGATTTTTATTGCATCATAACTTAGATTGTATGTTAAGTTGCATTAAACCATGTTCACAAATTTTCAGAAATATTTTTTTTTTCTTGGATAATCATGAATATCTTTTGACAACTCAGATTCAACTTTCCACAGACCCTGTACAATCGCTACAGGGTTCAACACTTGTCTCGCCATTCCGGCAACCTTGGTACTGATCTCAGATTGCCGGAAAAATTTCAAGTCGCCTGAATAAAATTTGTTGGTTGTCAAGACTGCTGAGTGTTTGTGACTGTCCAAGTTTTCTAATCTCAACGAGATTTGTCGAGACTAAAAATTTTGGATAGACATCTCTTCTGAATCTCAGACCAGTGGCACACAAAGTGATTCGGGAAATCTTGCCTGGACTTCGACCGTTTGCTTTGGACATCCTTCAACATTTTGCTTTGGACATCCTTTTAACTCCCTGTCTCTATAAAACTTTTGTTTCTTACCTTTTAAAGTTTTGAATCAAACCAAAATCAAGTTGTTGATTTTTTCATAGCACTGACATATTCATTTAAACCTCTGACGACGAAGACATTGAATTTTAAATAAGTTTAACATGTAAATACGGAAAGATTTAAGGGTTATTTATCCATTTCCATGCGATTTGAAAATCTAATGATTTTTGAAGCCTGATTTCAGTAGATAAAATTTTAAACCCCCCTTTTGAAAAGAGTTGTAAATAAGAGCAATCAAGTTTTTGACACAGGTTTTAAAATTATTAATTAATCAATACTGAACTCTTCTTTGCATTCAATCAAGTTTTAATTGCCATACTGCCATTTATATGGAATTAAATGTGTGCAAAATTTAGGTGGGAATCGAGAGTGAGGGTGCATGGTTCTTTCTATTTTTAGTAACCATGGCAACACTATTATTCCAAATCAAATATCTATAAATTGAATCATTTATCTGAGTTTGAAATCTTGTGTCCAAGTTATATTCAAATCTGACAAATACTGTAGGAGTAGCATTTTCAAAGTATTTCACAAAAATCTCTATTATAGTTACAATGGCAACAATGCCCCCCCCCCCCCCCCCCGAAAAAAAAATGATAAAAAGTATTATGTATCTCAATGTAGTCTACTTCTGTGCCATGTTATACTGAAATCAGACCAAAACTGTAGGAGAAGTACCTTTTTGAAAGTATTTCACAGAAATTTGTATTTTTAGTAACCATGGCAACACTGCTCAAAAAATTCATACACTCATGCACTAATTATGCATCTTAGTGTAGTCTACTTGTGTGCTAAGTTATATTGTAATCAGACCAAAACTGTAGGAGAAGTAGCGTTTTAAATGAATTTCAAAGAAGTTTCTATTTTTAGTAACCATGGCAACACCGTTCATCAAAATCAAAAACCGATACACCAAATTATGTATCTTTGTATAGTGTACTTGTGTGCCAAGTAATATTGAAATCAGACTAAAACTGTAGAAGGAGTAGTTTTTAAAAGGAATTTCACAGAAATTTCTATTTTTAGTAACCATGGCAACACCGTTCATCAAAATCAAAAACCGGTGCACTGAAATACGTATCTTAGTGTAGTCTACTTGTGTGCCAAGTAATATTGAAATCAGACCAAAACTGTAGGAGGAGTAGCGTTTTGAAAAATTGTTTACAGACGGACAGACAGCAAGACAGATGGACGGACGCCAGACACCTTATTATCGCATAAGCTCCTCTGGTTTCTGACCAGTAGAGCTAAAAACTGGACAACTGATGTATTCAATTTATTTTATTCTTAATGTGTACACATTTACTCATTTTGTAAAAATTTGGAACAGTTAATTGAAACATTGCTGTTTACACATTTAATCATTTCACCCTTAGCCACAGAACAGGAAGTTTATCTTAGTCATAGTGATATTGAAGCATTGGGCAATTTTCTTAGGATGTTTTAAAGTTAGGTTATATGACATGACCTTTTTTGGATGGGCCCATAATAAGAGATAAAAAAAAAATCTTGTATTTAAAGATATGAACATTTTGTTTTAAATCTTATGTTGAGGAACAGGAGGTGACTCAGGTGAGCATTGTGGAATATGGGCTTATTATTTTCAGATTGTATCAAAAACCTGTCACACTGATATTTCATATATCACTACAGTATATCAATTTGAGGCCAATCAAATTGCCCTGCAAAAGAGCTGTCCCTCAGTTATTGTAGTCTACTAATATAAATTGACATTTCTGACTTTGCGCTAGATTAAAATTAAAATGCCACTTATTTCCCCAAAATTGGGAGTAAGATCATTAAATAAAGATGAAAAAGTGTGTGTATTAAGTATTCCTCAATTTCTGTAGTACCTTAGCTCTCATCCTAACATTATAATTAAGGAATGTTTTTAAGTTTTGTGTGAGTTATTGGTGTGTAAATCACTCAGACTTGTCACGTAGGCATATTTTGTGAAGCGCGCTAGCACTTCATGAAAAATATGCCTACGTGCAAGTCTGTGTGATTTACACACCAATAATTCACACTAAACTTAAAAACATTCCTTATATTTACATTTTACAAGTTTAAAAGCACCAATAATATACTCGGTATTTGAATTTCTTGCTGCCCTATATCGTTACATTTTTATTAACTTCTCTGTATCCTCATTGTGACGTCACTTTAGCGCGAGTTTCACCGTGCATATTTCTACGCATGAGTATACACAAAAATGACTTTCAAATCAATTTCACAGTTGGCTTAGTAGAAAAACACAACAAATGTAAATATTCATAAATGGTTAATGTTTATTGATACTACAGTATATGAAAAGGCTTTGATGAATGATCAAAAGAATTTGAATCATTATATTTCTTATTTCAGAAACCATTAATTGAACTTATTATTGGCGGTGCTCAAGTGGTGGCTCGTGCCTTTACTAGAGCAGTCCAGGAGGAATTTAGGGCAAGTCAACAGGCCGCTCAGAGAGCAGGGGGAGGGAGACAGGGTGCTAGAAGAGCTGCTAATGATACTGTTTCAGGAATTAGTTTACAGGTGATGCATTCTCTGCTACTTAAGCTTTTGTCAACCAACATGACCAAAAGGGCATATTTCTAATTTATTAAGGAAGCTCTAAACACTAACAAAAAAGTGCTTTTTGGACTTGTCATATCCATCAAAACTCTTTTAAAAATCTACCTCTGAAAAACTGCAGGGCTAAGGTGACTCAGATGAGCATTGTGGCTCATCAACCTCTTGTTTGTAAGGTTTTTTTTGGAATTAATCAGAGAAATTTATCCTTACGTGTAGCAGACTTAGGATTGTAAATACACTTACACTGAACTTATTGAACAGGTCAAGAAGATTTCATAGCTGGTTAATATACAACAGAGTCTAACCTCATTATCTCGAACTCAATAGGACCGAGAAAAAAAACTTCGACATATTCATGGTATTCGAGATATTAGTGTTAAAGATATTGAAATTTAACTGCCTATACATTGTAGTACATAAGATTAAATGCATCATGTTTTCCTGAAAAAAATCATTTGAAAATATACTTTTCTTTATTACATTGTGCATCCTATTTTATTGTCTTAAGTCATCTGTCTGCTTATTTGTTTATATTTATGTACTTTATTTTAGGAGGCCAAGCAAATCCTAAATGTCAACAATTTAGAAGATGTAGAAACCATTGAGAAAAACTACAAACATTTATTTGAAGTCAATGATAAAGCAAAAGGAGGTTCCCTGTACTTGCAGTCCAAGGTAAATATATAAAAAAAAAAAAAAAAAAAAAAAAAAAAAAAAAAAAAAAAAAAAAAAAAAAAAAAAGAGGAAAGGATTTATGAGAGGGAAGAGGGGAAGGGAGTGGATGGGTTACTTGGTCAAATTTTGTGATAAAAAGATTTATTAAATGAAAGGTTTATTGATATGGAAAGGGGAGAAATGAAATTAAGATATTTCTGAAATTCATTTATAAAAAAAAAATATCCAAGTCTGGGTATAAAGAAATTAATGTATTTTATTACTTTCACAATATCTATGAATATAAAAGAAAAAAATTATTGTCAATATTTTCAGGTATATCGAGCAAAAGAAAGGATTGACATGGAGTTTAAGAAATCTGACCAGGAATCAAGGACTAGTGAGACTCAAGAGGAATCTAAAACTTAACAAAAGTGTTTCCTTAAAATTATATGTCAGTTTTAAACATCTGTCTGTGATCTGTTACTTCATGGAAGAAATAGAGGAAGAATTCTGAGCATTCACATTCATACAACTGTAAGAAATAGAGCGAGTGTAACTATTGATGTGGGTTCATTTAAAGACCATTGGAGTGAATTTCTATTACATATGCAAGAAACTCATCTGAGAAGAAGGACTAGTATGTGATAATTGTTTTATTGTTATTCATGTTCAATTGGAAGTGTGAGACACTTATTTTTGAATGTTTTTATTCCATTACTGATTAGAATTGTTAGTCAATAAGACTCCTATAACTCAAGAAAGCAATGGTTATGAATCAAGTTGAAATACCAAAATGATAACAAAGAGATGCATGATCCCTAAGGAATGAGGAATTGATCTGTGTTAAGCTTTTAAAGCCTGACATGTACATAAGAATTTAAAATGTGTCATAAGAAAGAATATTGTATCTTCATTTTCAGGATCTTTTTATCACTATTGTTAAAAAAGTTCAGCCCTAAAATTCATTTCAGAAATGTCAACATGGGTGTTGTACAAAAATTTATGTATAAACATAAAAGATGAGGGTTATATTTTAGGATATATACAAATAACAGTAAATTTAAATAAAATCAACAAACTCAGTTTTCAATATTGCATATTATGAGGTAGAAGGTGAGAAAATAATATCAGATTCAATTTATTTTATTGCGTAGGATAAACATCCTATTACATGTTACAATCATACATTTTTATCCACATAGAAAATGAACAGTTCCACAGCATGTATTCTGTGGTGATAAGCACAATAGTGTATAATAGATTAAAATTATACAAGTTCCAATAAAATTCACTAATACACTGTAGATCATTTGAGTGAGAACATAGCTTTATGGCCTTGAGAGTCTAATTGCTTTTGAGTATTGTCATCAGATTTTTTTTATTGAATTTTAGAAGTATTCCAAGTTATGAAAAGTGGGACCACCTCTTCTATCATTTAACCGTTAAGTGGCTATGTTTGAAACTTTTATCACCACTAACTTTGATCTCTATCTGTACACTAGTTAAAAAGCGTATTCAGCATATTTATACCCCCCCCCCCCCGCAAACGAAGTTTGGGGGGGGGGGTATATTGGAATCAGCATGTCCGTCTGTCTGTAGACGAGATTTTGTCCGGACCATTTCTTAGAAACTGTTGCAAGGATTTGTCTGAAAATTTATACACTTATTATTCACCATTTGAAGGTGTGCACCTGGTATTTTCATCATGATTGGATTTTTTTTTTTGGCATTTTACAGGTGTTTTTTTTCATTTTTTTTTTATGTGGTTTTGTCCGGATCTGTTCCCAGAGACTATTGCGTAGATTTGTATGAAAATTTGTACACTTATTATTTACCATATGAAGATGTCCACCTGGTATTTTCAACATTATTTAATAATTTTTCTGCATTTTAGAGGTGTTTTTTTCATTTTTATTGACTTAGTCATTTTGGGTACATGTCTAAGGTTTGAGACATAGAGTCTAGAACATCTGTACAAAAATGTGAACTACAGCTTAAAACTACTCATTAGAACTAAAAAAAAAATCAGGAAGTATTAAAAACAGTTTTTACATTACACAGCAGATAGTGTAAATCCATTTGTCCCTTGGGAGTAATGAGTGGACATGCATCCAGTTAAAGATTAATTAATGAGTTCAGTGTGGGAAGCTGTTAGGGCATCTCTGATCAAGCAGGTCTTATCTATATCTCCTAGGAATTGGGCAGAAAGAAATAAAGATCTCTGTTCTCTAACTCTATTTTAATTTATAGTCTGTCAAAATACATAGTTACTGGATGACCAGCCTTTTATTTTTAAAATGAGTTTGAGATAAAGGTATTAAGATCAATTTGATTTTATATAATTAATTATGATTTTTTTTTTCAACAATCAATTTGCAGAGTGTCATGACTCACAAAGTAGGGCATCTCTGATCAAGCAGGTCTTATCTATATCTCCTAGGAATTGGGCAGAAAGAAATAAAGATCTCTGTTCTCTAACTCTATTTTAATTTATAGTCTGTCAAAATACATAGTTACTGGATGACCAGCCTTTTATTTTTAAAATGAGTTTGAGATAAAGGTATTAAGATCAATTTGATTTTATATAATTAATTATGATTTTTTTTTTCAACAATCAATTTGCAGAGTGTCATGACTCACAAAGATGACAGATAGTGGTAAACTATTTTTTCAATGTAATAAAAAACACTGTAATTATTAGTATTGATGTTTTATTAGGCTGCACCTTAGTTTCATTCATTAAAAAAATATAATGAGTAATTAAATTTTCACTCTAAATGTTTAAGCAAATTGTGAACACCTCTCGCATATAGAAAACATTAGTGATTTGGTACCTTCTCTGAAAAACCCAGCGGGGGGTATTTGTCCCTTTTGGACAGTTCTAGTTTGCAATTCATTTACCGACTATAGCATCAGCATACACAAAAAACTTTCAAAGTAATATAAAGCTGGCTGTTCAACAAATTACCCAACAGATCCACCCCAAATATGAAATATGATTTTTCTAGCCATAAACTATTATTTAGTAAAGTAAAACCACATATTAAATAGTCATTGGGACAGATATTATGAAACACCCTGTACATGTGGGGAATTGAGGATAGCGGCCAGCTAATCTCAGTGGTAAAGACGGCTAATAATGCTGGGTGTCCTGGGTTCAATTCCCAGTCCAGCCCATAATTTTTCTCTTTCCTTGTTTGGTGCTGTTGACCACCCCTACACCTGCAGGCGAAGTCCTGCAAGGTGCTGAAGAACTTTGGTTTGTGTTGTTGAGGGCAGACTGAGGGAGGAATTTAGTGGGTTAGGCTATATGGACTGTGTAACTTGGGTAGCTTTGTGGTTGGAGCACCTGACTAGTAAAGCAGGGCAAGCCCGTAGGAAGCAATCTCAGTTGGGGGGGGGGGGCATACCATACATTTCAGTTGGGGGGCACTATCAACTACCAAAAATTCCTTGACAAGCAAAACAAAAAGTCATCAGACTTTATTACTGAGGGGGCAAAAGCATATGCTAGCTATGTTTCTATAGTATTCTATATATCGGCAAAATTATAAGGGACCCCCCCCCCCCCGTGTCCCCTGGTTCCTACGGCCATGCAGGGGTCAGGTGTCTGATTCCCATTCCAGCCATAAATTTTTTCCGTTCCTGTACATATGTATACGTATACTGTTCAAAAAAAAGAAAGAAAACGCAGAGTAAAATTTAAGTGACACGTTAAGACATAAGGTTACACAGTAGCATAATGTATTGTTAACAAAGAAATGTAAAATGTAATAGTCATAATTACTCAGGAATTTTATAATCATAGGCAGTTCAACGTCATTAAGATCAATATCTGGTACACCCCCCCCCCTTTTACAAACACACACACAGACACCAGTGATAGCTTAAAACGTCATCCTTATGAACGCAAATGAATGTATTAAAACTGCATAGGAATGCCATTCCACTCTAAATGTAGAGCTTGGGTCAGCTGTTGCAGAGTTTAGGGATGCGGTTGTCTTTGGTCTATCCATTTTGTCCAATGCATACTCATTGTGGTTTAAATATGGCGATTTACATGGCCAAGGCAAAGCCGTGGCTTTGCAAGAATGTGCTTGTCAAACGAGCCATATGTGGCTGTGTATTGTCAGATTAAAGTACGGCTCCAGGGTGCTACATTATTGGAAAGACATGTGCAGCTAGGACGTCGTCAGAGTGCCGTTGTGTCGTTAAAGTCCTTTGAATATGAACCAAATTAGACCTGTCTGTATACATAACATTGCCCATATCATTACACTACCATCATCAAATCTACCAATCTCCCGGAATCAGTTTTCTGCAAAACGAACTTATTACGAACTTATGCACTCTGACTCTTCCGCTGAGCTGTGCAATAAAATTATTGGACTAGTAGATAAACCGAACTGTTCAGCGGTGTTGCCGTACTCTGTTGGTCTGAGACCTTTGAAGTCCAGCATCTCAATATTGTAGATGACGTCATTGTGGAACGATGATGAAGGTTACGCAAAACAATGAAGCGATCCTGGTCTGCCAAATGTTTTGCGATCATTTGTTGTACCGTGCTGTTGGTATCTGTTTTAAGAGAAAACCATGCAAATAGACAAAAAGGCTGCAGTAGCAAGTCTCAAGAACAAACAAAATTTTATTATAACATTAAAGGAGACCCACTGAGAGTCAGAAATATATTGTTTATTTTTGCATTGGTTGTTTCTATTTTTAGTAACAACTAACAATTCATTCTGGTCAATATTCCAGAGAAAAATACAAAAAGTTGGTGTAAAATTGATAATTTCAATATTTAAAAGTAAAATGAATAAACAACATAAGAAGAAAAGGGGAATATTTTTTCACAGAATAGGGTTGTAAAATTAAGTTGGAATCAAAATTTCTGTAATATCCTTATATATGAGGCTGTCCCAAGAGTGCAAATATTGGCATGGTGCCAAGAAATGAAATGATTCATTTTTTGTCAATATTGAAGAAAGCATTTCTAAGAAAGTGACGCTTCTTTTTTCAAAATTTTGTGCCATTAGGAACCTCTAAGATATTATCCCTGCAATATGTAATATCCACCTTTGGACTCTCAAGGACATAAAAGTAACATTGTAATGAATCTATATCAAATTCAAATAATAGAAAATTTTGTGGTTTTATAAATTTAACTTTTAAAGTAATTTAAATGAACTTCGTGTAATATATTTACAGATATAAATAATAAAAAATATTTTGAATTTTATAAAACACTAAAAATAAATATTTCCCCTGATTTTTCCTTAAAAAATCCGTATTTAACAATTTTTTTTTTATTATTGTTAGAATTATCTCCCCTGTTGCACTCTTCTGTAGAGAAGGTAGATAATGATTATGTTTACAAAGAGATACCAAAAGATGTCTGTCATCTAATAGATTAATCATGCATTATGTGTGATTTCAAGAAATTTGCTCCTTCCTGTGAGTGTAATTTGTTAGATACTACCTATAAATTATATGAATGTGATGAAGACGTATCAAATCACTTATACAGTTTAAAGAGTTCAGGAATAAAAACAACATCAGAAAATGTAAGCTGCCCGGAGTACTTGGTTCTTTTATACAGGGCTGGTCTATTTGTTATTGACAAACACTTATTCCTTTTGAAAATATGTGACAATCACAGAAAAAGGTTAGGTGTGCAGTGGAGGCGACCACAGAGGACCTGCGCATATCCCGGTCATGAAGGCAATGCAAAAGCTGACCGCGGGGCTTCTCCCACACTTTGTAAAGAAGTGTGGTTACAGACAGGGCAAACATTGCCAATTGGATCAGGTATTTGATTAAAAATTTCAATGATAATTTTCATTATTAAGAACCATTTGAATTAATATAAAGATGATGAAAAGTTTTGGAAAAGCAGACACAATTTTTGATCCTTCATATGAACTATGATGTTATATGTTAAATAACGGTAACCTGATGCTTTATGATTTTTTTTAATTTATTTTTTTTATTATTTTTTGTTGTTGCACGTTTGATGCCTATCAATAATGACAGGATGTTATAATTAAAGTTGTATCCCTATACATTTTAAACAATGTAATTAT